GGGGGGAAGCATCTCTGACGGTTGAAGTGGCTGCGTGAGTTTCCACGATTGGATGACAGGCCCTTATCTAGCCCGTTGACTACTGCATCTTGATTTAGGTTGTGAAAGGATGGGCTGACTAGTTTTTGGTCGAGCCTAAGAATGTGGGTGGCTGCCGTCAAAAATTGGTGGGGATGAAGTCAATGATGATCGCCAAGGAGGAGGGGAATCTCTCTGTAAGGAGTAGATAACTAAGAGCGAACTAGACAAGGGGGTATGTGCATGGAGTATTGCAGACTACAAGAATGAGGAGGGGAAGTTGTGATCCACTTGAATATGGAGAACCTCTTGCCCTAGCGATGTTTCCTGGTAAATAAACATCGCCCCATCCATGCAACCATTTCCATTACTTTACCCAAGTAGCTAACCGCTCGACTTGCCCTACGGCCCAGGGTTTTCCGATTTCACGGGCCAATACCACTCTGTGCGATGGTATTAACGAGTGCAGAGCCCCTCGAACCATGGGCTAGGTGGGTCAGTTTCAGAGACCAGACTAAATGTGCTGTGATATTTCGATCAGGCCGAATAAGATCATTCTAGACATTTGACCGCCCTGATCCAGAAAATCCCCCATGGTACTTGGGTCCGCTGCAAAGCACAGTGTTGCAGATCTTGACCATCAATGCGTCACTCGTTCGATTAGAGTGACACAGGACCATGTAGGCAGAAAGAGCCAATGGACAGTTGTCACTAACTTTCTTTGACTGAGAGGATTGCTAGGGACAGTCTGCCATCACCAATGGCGTGTTTTACTCCTGTCCAGCCAGGTCTCTTGCGGGCTGTGACTCCGACCAAATCTCCCTTCAGCACGGCACTCTACGGCACCCTTGTTCATTTCCGCACTTCTCTGCTGTTATCATGGGACTATTAATAAATGCCAATAGTCACAACTAGGCCACGGGTGGGCGGTCGCGCAACCGCCCGGAAGACCGAGAGTCACAGTGGTGTTTCTGACGCAGGATCCTTCCAGAGAGAGGAGCCCGTCGCGCGGCCTCTCAAGCAACCTGCGCGCTCCCTTAGACGTCCGCCCATGGTAAGTCCCCAGGCACGGTTGGCAGGGCCTGGTTATTCTGCTGACTTCACTCACCCACCAGCGGGCACAAGTATCCGGTTCTGGTTTTCGGGACGCCCATTCTGCCACATCAGTGGAGGACCACCAGGCCTGTTTGGCTACGGTCGAAACACTGGAGCGGGAAAATGAAGCATTGAGGGGGGACAAGAAGACCCTGTTAGAGCGCCTTGAAGGCGCTGAAAGTGCAATGCAGGAATTGTTGAATAACCAGCATCGGTGCGAACAAGAGTTCTGAGCAGCAGGCGACTCGACAACTGGTGGATGAAATGCAACATACCGTTGCAGGTTGGCACCAGCGGCTTCGGAGCCCGGCTGGTGTAGCAGAACGTGTGGATCCAGCTGCCCTGACGACTGCCCTACCGGCAACGACAGCGGTACCGGACATGTGGCCTACTCAGGAGGAGGAAGGGGGTGCATTTGGCGATGATCATGATATGGTACCCGAGTCGGGTAACTTCGCGCAGCTTTTCCAGTTGTAGTTGCTCTGCCGTAGTAATTGATTATCTGAGATGCGCACCAGTATATCGATCTACAACTAAAGTACAGACTGTCACGCAGTGCACTTCTGCTCTCGCTAAAAGCTGGCTAAGGGCACTTTCGACACGGCGAGTTGCCTCTATGTTGGCAGAAGGACCGGCTGATGCTGAAATGGGTAAACCTTTTGTATATAAAACGCGTGGGCCAATCCCATAGTGAATTGATTGCGCTTGACAAGGGCCTTAGAAACTCAAGTTCCGTTGTTGACCGTCGACAAGCTAACAGAGCATGAGCGTGTCGCACGTCTGGGCCCAGGAAAGGCAAGTCGCAATTTAACCAGGTAATGTTAAGCTTCTGAATCAGAAAAACGAGGGTCGTCTAAAGGTCTGAGTTGGAGGAAGACTCCAAGTCACTTTTGGGTGAGCCTGCACGCATACTCCCCGTCCCTCAAACTACCCTGCTTTCTCTTAGAGTACATATGATTGTGCTGGATCGAGAGCGGCACGCCCATATCTCATATAGATGAGCAGTCAGTCGTGAAACTCTCGACGGAATTATCCCGTCGTCGGCAAGCTGGACGAGGGAAATAGCTAATGATGTAGCGTCCAGCATTTATAGCCATGAACCCGAGATCTCTCCGGTTCTGTCTCTCTCCATACCGCGCAAGGGGAGAGTAACCAAATATCGTGCAAGGCATGAGCTACCGGAGATCACATCGGTCGACCATGACATTGTACTAGTTCGGAGGAGAACCATGGCCCTGATTGCAGAAAGCTGAAAACAAAAAACATGGAAAAAATTGGAAAAGAAAAGACAAGACAAATGAAGAGAACAAAGAAAAGAAAAATACCCATAGTCGCTGCGAGACACCTAGAAATAGCGGCAGTACAAGCGCCAAGAAGACGAGAACAGGTTCTTCTGCATATCCCTCAAGGTCTTCGACGTTCTCGCAGCCGTGGCGGTCGAGGTAGCCGATGATATAATCATGCAGCATGGATTCGAGCCTGACATCAGTCCGGTGGGAGGCTGATGCACCGTCTTGGGGATATGCAAGCCGCAGCAGGGCCCGTCCGACTCATAAAGAAGGGAAGCTCGAGCTATTGAAGATTGGGACCATCGGATGCACCTTCCGGGCATTCGTGCCCCATTATCATAGTGGATCCACGAAGCTTCAAGTCCCACATTTTATACGTGGCTATTTGTCTTTGCATGTTCATCATGTCTTGTCAATAAAGCTAGACCTTCGTTGAGAATGTGCTTGGTAGACGTGATATTACCTGCTCACGGGAGCAAGCCAGTGGAGCTGCGCGAGCCCATAGGGAAAGAAAAAGTCCTATCTATTGCAGCCATACAATCGGAATTTTCATTAAAGAGTTTCTAAAAGTGTGGCCTTTCTTCTGTATCACAAATAGCACGGATGGAATGGGCCGTTCCCCCACCGGCCTGCACATCCAAATCCTCCAGGTGAGAGTTCCATATATTATAATAAATGAGGTAAACGCACATCGCCATCGTAGCAGCGAGAGTCGATGACTGTTTTCGTCAGGTCGTATTCAGCTCTCCAAAATTTATTGCCTCCTAAATCGGAACAGCTTCTGAAACATTCATACGCGGGCTGTTGGGGCGTCTTCGGGTGGAAGTCGGCATGTGAGTTCTCGGAGCCTGCTTCCAGCTAGTCGTGGATGATGTTCTAGGTGTTGTTTCTCGTGCATACCCATGTTTCCGCAAGCAGCATGAAGTTCTACCATAAGCAAATGTGCACGTGCCTTGCACCTCCCTTCGCTTGCATGAGTCATGACCGTAGAGCCACATATAGCTTGGAGAGTGCTTGCCAGTTGTGGATCCAGAAGGAACGAGGGGCTGCCGATTGAAAGCGGGCTTTTGACAGCCGTCTGACATCAGGTTTCTTTGGGAACGCTGCTTGAAGGTTTCTCGCATGTTGCATTGTTCTCACCCATTGTCGAAACGAGTTGGGACAGATTGCCAGGAGGTGTAAAAGCGTCAGTCGCTGAAGAACCCAACTGATGATACGACAATATAGGCACGAGGGCGGTGAGCGTAAATTAAGTGTTGGCAATTGGAGAGCCCGGGTCAGACGGCCCTTTTAATGCTTTCCTGTGTGTGCTATTGCCCTAATAGAATATGCCAGTGGTTATCATTGCCGTATTAAGCGTTAGCTTACTTACCCAACAAGCATCGCGGTTCCCAAGAGACACAGTAGCTGACACCAGCTGAGCCCTGTTTGCGAAAAGATGTTCTGCTATCTTTCGTATCTTCCCATTAACAACAGCCAAATCGTTTATACATAGCCTCTTTCTGTATAGTATTGCAATATGCGCGAGTATAACGGCGCTGGAAATCCAGCCGCTTCAAGAACCATGGACAAACCACTAAAATACAAACAGATCTACCATCGAATGGGCATCTTCACGGTGAAACACAAGTTACCCACTACATGAAACGTAATATATCCACCCACTGGGATCGTCTGCCCAAAAATGCCTTGACCTTGCGTTCTACTGTGATGATGGAAACTTAATCGTTTGAGCAACACACGGCCTGGAATACCATCCCGGTAGGTTCGGTGGTCACATTCGCTCCGATATTTAAGTCCACTTTTCGTCTATAGCATGCTTTTCACTTCCTGTTGTATCTCTGAATGAATCATACACCTGGACTAATCTTTGTTCCCACATGCGTGGAAGCAGCCCACCCCTATATAGGCGGCTACAGGCTTTGCGGACCACGTTAGGACTTCAAACCTCGCACACTGCTTAGATAGGTGCCAACATCCAGGCCACGGTGGCAAGGGAACTAGGAATCGCAGAGCATGGTGATCTCGATCCAGGTGTTGTAGATCAGTCTAGTGGAGGTCCCAGCTCGTTGGTGAAAAACAGCGATGGAGGTTGTGGACAAGGGCAGGGCTTTGCTCTTCTAAACGAGCACAGTTCTACGGGTCTCCGAATCTGCTTCAGATAACTGCACAGTACAAGTTGACGCCATATCTAGACTGTGTGAACGGGTGTAGTGAGTGTGTGGCCCCATGCTATCTACGAGGCTGACGCAGATAAGTGCTTTAGAGTCTAGCCTGCAGGGACTTGCCTAACAATAATACAGAATGACCGGCGTGTCACTGGTGTTTAAGTTTCGTGTCCCACAGCATGGAAGCGACCTTGGAACGGCCCTGGCTGGCTTCTCCACTATTCCAGGGCAAAATGCAACACTCATATTTCTCTTTATGACAGAAATGTAACCTGACCATTCTACGCTCTTGACTGGACCGCGTTATACCGTGCTATCAAGACTGACGGGCAGATGCCGATGATTCCGGACAGGTTCAACCTGGAGCAGCCGCGGAGGCGGGCCACACTCTTTACCAACCGAAATGCCAGACCCCGAGTAGCTTTCAATGCCAGACAAAGGGCGTCCAGGGGTCGGCACCACTGAACTCAACTAACCTTGCCGTCAAATATGGTCAAAATCATGTCGCCTGGGACAAATTTACTATGAGGCACTAGATAATAGAGCACTTTCACACGGAGACAATCGTTGACCAGTGACGATGCTCTTTCGGTGACATCCAGACAATCCTACCCCAAAGATGGGGACCTGTAGTAGATCACGATGGCGAATGAGTTTTGTGATACTTCGATTAATGGAGCCCTGCAGCGACAACCGAATGGGGTCTGAACCACCAGGTCCATCTTTTTAAAGTTTGCTCTAATGCAGCTGATATACGGCCAAAACACACGATAGCTTTCGCTCGATCGCTATCGCATGGCGTCGTGTTGAGCTTTGGTGCCGTTTCGGTGCAATGGTGGCCAATTCCAAATCATCGTGCCGTAGTTCCGAAGCGCCAACAGGGGCTTCTTTTAGGGGGACAAGGCTTTGGCTCAATTTGGGAGATCGCTCCGCCATCGCCCAGAGTTCCCATATTTTGGGTTGCCCCAGCTCCTTAGTCTTCAGTCATTGCCTTTGCGAATGGCCAGCTCTTGACTCAAGTTTTCCTGTGGTAACTACATGGTGTTGTCTCCTACATCATCTTTTATCATTGATCAGCCGAGACAGAGAAACGCGTCTGGATCTCTGAGGCTAGGAAATGCTTACCAATAATTGGCTACCAATATCCCGGGATGACCTATTAAACCTTGGTTATCTGGACCAATGACATTGGACAAAGGGTCGTGACCGGAAAGCCTGCCTCTAGTATCGTCCTGGGAAATTAGCATGACTATCGATTGAACTCGCAATATCGGGTCTCAGTAGATCTGGTGTCTTTTTGGGACAGGCGAGGTGTCCGCCGATTACCCTAGCATTGCGACAGAATCACTGATGGTTTTCGACGCTCCGAAAGACTTGTCCAAGCTGGAACACATTCTACCATATTTCCGCAAGAAGGCTGTTCAGCTAGACATGAGTGTCTAGCACTGGAAATCGCTGCGGATGACTCGTTTTGGAGGATGGTCGAGATCTACAAGTCATATAGCTGCTGTTCGACATGCCTCCGTTGGGCCACCCGAGCCACCTCACATAGCCTTATTGCCCATTTCGCCTGTCCACGGTCTTTCATCTCTTGCAGCCGGTCCATTCACAGGTCGCTCTCACCATTTTCGGGGTACGGAGGTAGCGACTCAGTCTATTCCAAAGCGAGCACTGTACCCGATTCATATTCCGTAGATAGTACGTCACTAGGTCCCAGCGACCCTGCGAGACAGTGAATTAGGTCCCACCAGCTGCGATCTGGGACCATCGGAATATTGATTTGAGGATGAGCAAACTGACTATAGCTGTTGTGTTCATCGCTATCTCAATTAGAAAGGTCATCGATCCATCTCTCCTATTTAAAATGACCCGAGACTGCTGTTGTGGTCTATTCTCATACCAACATGCGCTCGCTCACCACGTCAATGTTCGGAGAACGATCGCAGATCGCAGGCCACCCTCGGGGGATGGCATTGCGTTCGACAGCGTTGTTCTTCATCGGCCAGCGTTCGCAGCATACCGCTTGGTATCCTTCGGTGAATAATGACCGCGCTCGTGAACCCTCGACAGGATCTCTTCCTTCAAGAGAGGAAACCCCCATCCAGAGCTGTTCTTTGAATTCAGATGGCTTTGTACCGCTGCGTGGCTTTGTACCGCTGCACAGTGCTGCCTCGATATGGGGGCAGTGGTTGTAGTATTTCCAGATATCCTCTGCCGAGCATGACTGCGAAGGCACTCATCTTTATTTCCCCGTTGCGACGGGGTGACAGGGATATTTGATTCTGTTTGCCTTAGCATCTAACCTGCAGCCGTTGGAACCTAAGCTGTCAACAGTTACCATTCAGTTCACTGACTTTTGTCCGTTTCGTATAAGGGTTTATTACCGGTAGGAAGTATTTTATCGTAGGGAGTCAGCTGGCTGCGACGCCAGGCCAATGGTAGGAGGTACGGCTTCGGCGTTGGCTATTTTCTAGCAGGGTCTTCAGCAGCTTGACATGTATGATCAATATGAGGTGACTTGGCTCAAAATCCTATCAAACCATGTCGATGCTGCGTGAGCCTAGATCCTGACATAAGATCAGAAGATATACAAAGAGACTAACCAACCAATCCTTTCGCACAAAATAGCATCCAGGCCAGGTTCTCTCTGGCGTGTGCTGATCTTCCCACATTTTCTCTTCTCTGTTGCTCTGTGTAAAGAACAGCCAAGCCCTTCCATAACACATGGGCAAGCAATCTTTACTTCCTCCGCTAGAGGCGAATGATCCCCCGACGTCAAGAAATAAATGGCAGTCCGATACGCACGTTAGTAGAGGTGCGCCCTCAGGACAAGAAGGCTCTGTATCCGTTGCAACCATGTTCCGCCAGCATGAAGAAGACACTAGTACCACTGAGCCTGTCGAGAACTACCAACAACAGCGCGAGTTGGTTCAAGCATGTGAGAGTTGTTTCCGCCGGAAAGTCAAGGTGGGCAAGTTCAGGGGCAACAGAAACAGTCGGATGACTGGCTACTAGTGTTCTCGCACCTGTCCTTGTGAAGAGTGCCAAAGACGTGGAACCAAGTGTGTCCCTCGCAGTCGACTGGACCGACGAAAGGAGACAATCATTCTCACAACGCCTACTGGAACCTGTGCGGGTCCTCCACAGAATCGCAATAGACATGCGTACCAGCCTTCCAGAGAAACCATACGAATTTTTGATGTTCCTGCCAGTGAATCGGTGGAGCGACATCAATGGAGCGCGTCCAATCTGGGCCACGCTTTGGACACCACCATCCCATGTGACAATATTGCTAAACATGGCCCACCCATCACATGCCCTGCAAACGTTATTTCCCGCGAAGAATGGAACATGACTATGAACAGTTGTGACAGTAGTCTCCCATGGGAGACTAGTGCGAACACAGGCTGGAGAGCCTCCTGTAACGCGTTCATATCCCCGGACTCGTATACGTCTACAGACAACTTGACTGGGGAGGCCCTCTGCAGGTGGCACTGAAGAGTCTTGGTATGCGAACAGAAGCGGCGTCATGCCCATTTACGGAGCCCACTCACAGGAGCAGTACCCTCTGGGGCCTTCCTTTGATCTGCTGGAGCTTATCCCCTCATCCGTTGCAGTAGGGCTCTCTTTTATACTAGAGACTGTGCCACCTAGCTTCCCAAGTTTCCCTGGCGTGCAGCAGGTCAAAGAAGCCAGCTTGGCGCTCCCCACCGAATCTCCAATGCTATTGCCTCCCTGGGATCCATTGACGACCACTCCCGCACAGGCTCACATAGCCGACATCCGCAGCCGCAGCTTGCATCAACAACCATTTGCACCCATGCCTATTCAAAACATCAAGTCGCTAGTACCTCCAAGGCTACACAATGTGATGGATTATCAGGGGACTCATGTTATGCCATTTGGTAATGTCGGCGCGAACGGCCAGGAATTATCTCGTGATCTCACCGTGCCGGAAGACCAAGTCGAGCATGGCCGCTTGACCTAGGCGGGCGATTTCAATGTCCAGAGGACGTTGAAACAATGTTTCGCAATAGGGAAATGGCACCTTTTGCGTGTGGTGTGCTTGCAATATGGTCTAATTATCCTCATCTATTACTGTTTCTCCCGTACTATATATCTGCCATAGCACTGAAGAGTATGTTGGTATGTACTATAACGGTCAATCATTGCAGACGAGACCAGCGAATGACACGCGAATCTTCTATTCATAGCTGCCTAGTACGTATGCAATATCACGTCGTATGCCGTCGGTCTATTCCTGCACCGCAGGCGGCAGGGTGGCCCTTTGGAGGCGAGGCTGAACAGCCTCAATATCCGACTAGAAGCGGGATCATGTCCTTCCGGGGAGGCGACTCCCAAGGGCTGTACCATCCAACTCCCTCACCAGATCCACCGGAGTCTATTGCCTCGTCCGTCGCAGCCGGGTTGTCTTCTATACCAGAGACTGGGCCACCGAGTTTCCCAAATTTTTCTCGTATACATCAGGCGGAAGATGTCAGCTGGTTACTCCCAACTGAGATCCCAATGCAATTGCCTTCTTGGGATTCATTGACGCCTGTTTCCACAGCATTGCCCATGACAGACTTCCACCGCCGCAACATGCATCAGGAACCACCTGCGCCCGACCCCGTGCGGAACATCGAGTCGCTAGTACCCCCATGGCTACAGACTATGATGATCTACTATGGAACTAAAGGCAGCCCGTTAGATAATGTCGGTGCCACTAGCCAGGAGCCATCGTGTAATGTCACGGTGCCGGAAGGCCAGGTCGAGCATCGCCATTCAACCTAGGTGTATGGCTTCAATGCTCATAAGAAACGGGAACCATTTTCGTGGTATGAACGCGGAATTCTGCATGCCTGGTTGTGTTTGAATTACATAATCGCCTCGGTATGCCCATTCAATAAATCGCACAATTGTACCCTCGGACACCTTTTGAAATTCATACACGCCGCTCTGGCCTTCCCTGAGATTACTGTCCAAGGCTGCAATCAATGGTGGGGACTTGGCATGGAGCAGCCTTCGATGGATCGTAAACGAACGTCCCGTTTGAGCAACTTGAAGGGAAACAGGCTCAGAATTCAGAAATCTAACACAGGTCAACGTCTACTACATGTGCGCTTTCTAGGAAGAAGTAACTCACTCAGAATACGGTAATTCTCGTGCTTCTTTGATTATACTCATTGTTTCTTGAAGGGGTGAGGTTTGACGAGGAGTGAGTGGCAGGCATTCATCCAAGGTTGAAGACTCCGAAGGGACGATCGGACTGAGCAGTTGTGGTGGTCTTTGTTTCCTTTTCTTTTTGCCTGCCATAGCTTTCCAGGTCGGAAGGGAGGATAGAGGATCTCAGGACCTGACTCTAATTGGGTGCGAACGGTCGATATGTGTCCTCTCACGATTGGTGGAGAAACATGCCTAATGAATTGGACGTACTGCCTGTCAAGGGGCCACGCAGGAAGTACGTACATGTTGCAGTAGGCGTTCTGAAGAGACTCTCAACAATCATTTTCCTTTTTACGACGTCAGGCTTGTCATGTCGTCTTTTTATAAATTGCAAAAGAACGTCTGAAACTGCGCGGCACCTAGCTACTGAAGCAACCCACGCTTCGCGGAATCACCATGGTTCCTCTCACTGTGATTGTGCATAATCATCCTCGATATTTCAACGATAGAAATCGCGTGGCTTTACTCATTTGCGAACGGTCGAATGGCCCTTAGGGCTACTTCATTTCTCATCATCGTCATTCAGGTTGGATATACTGTAACCGCTCACAATATCCTGTCGAGAGTTCCTTGATGGGCTAAACATGTCTCCTCCAAGCTTTCTGGAGGTACTCATCTGTCTGACGCAGACGGTTGCGTCCTCGATAGCTCTCGCCTTCTGGAGAGACGGGCTCAACACATTCGACATTATCAAGTGTTCTAGACTATAACTCAAAACTACGTTGGAGAAAGCAGTGTAGATAAAGCTAAGTCCTGTCCGAAGAGAGCATAAAGTTAGAAGTGCTCATTTAGTGGAATCGCGAAGTACCAGAAACGGGAAATGTATGGTCCTATCACTGCGAGAGACCTACTAATGCACATGATGGTATAAGTCACAGATCTTCCCGTCATATTGGATATCCAAATGAGCAATGTGCAGTGATGTTCAATGAAGTAAATAGGGTTCAAGCACATATAGCGGTTATCTGTCGTGATGTTGAGGAGAGCCAAGACATGCTATTTCGGTTCAAAGCCAGACGGCTTGACCCCTCATCAAGTGGGGCAAGGAATATATGTATCGTGACGCTATACGCTCCTAGCAGTCCCAATGAGTTTGCTCGTAAAAGTCGTCACAGCCGCGCTGCGATAGTCAGCTCGAAATGGCATATTAGAATTGGGCTGCAGTTAGTGGCATTGCTTCCACGATCGTGCCAGCGTGCGTTTGTAAGTATCCATGGCTCTTACAACGTATATCAAGAATAGCTCCCAGAAACTGCAGGGGACACGACTGGAAGGGGGAATCCACCGGCCAACTATGGGCCTGTCGCGTAGCCGAGTTAACAAAACCTCCATTGGTCACTTGATCTTCAGGAATGTTACGGTACTTTTCCGTCACTAGTCCGAGGAAATGGCGAAGGCTCTCGTAGATCGAGAATGTCTCATAATAAAGTGTGCCGGCGAAAAGACCCAAATCTCGAGCGGTCGTCTGAGGCTGACGGGGGATTGTGTGACCGAGACCCACGTGCAGAAAGTTCAGAGGCTCAAAAGATCGCATGGTCCTGGTTGTTTTCGGGGTGTAAATGAGTAGCTTGGCTTTTTGCGAAGACCGAATGTCTGGTAAAAGTTCGTTGACTTCGTACTGACTAAGGAGAAGCAGTCCCTGGTCGTGCGTATTTGCGAGAACCCAATGAGCAGGCTTAAGAAATTCATCACTGCAGTCTTCCTCTCTCAGTTGGACAGTGCGACTGTAGTCCTGTGTCACGCAGAGATTTGGCGCTAGCGAAGTCGGAAACCCGAATTGGCCTGCAGAAGTATGCCGAAAGATCTCAAATGCGGACTGCACCGCAGTATAACCGCTGTCAGGCAATTTTCCATTGGTTACAAAGTAACGAACATCTTCATGGATGTGATGAGGGACGGCAGAAAGCCGTGGGGGGCGGCAAATTTGATGCTCCCTCTGTACTTCGTGGCTGATTTGTCGCTCTTGTTCCTCGTGCAACGGAGCGAGTTGTTGCATGCCATGACCTGACCCTCGCCAGACTTCCAGGAGCTCTTTGACTATAGGGTTATCCTGCACCAGTGTCTCATCGATAGACCAACTTTCTAGCTTATCCCACGGCGCGTATAGCTGGGACAAAGTCCGAGCCTCCAGTTCCTGTATATCTTGAACAGCCTCCCGTGGGGGGCTTTCCCCTCGCAGCAGCTTGTCCCATACTTTCTGATGTCTGTGATACTGCAGGCCTTGAAGTGCCCAGAGCGGACGCAAGCTCTGGAAGATATTGCATGTCTGTGTAAGGGCCCACCGAATCACATCGAGTGACGTTGTGGATGTGCCGCGTGGAGGCATACTGTGACTCACTTCTGGCGGGATTACGAATGTCACGGATTGTCTCTGGCCCAGCCCACGCATCCTGTTGCATGCTGGGCGATACATTGTCAGTGATAGTACAAATGAACCTAGCAGAGGTTAACCCTTCCAAGTTACACTTACCTTGCACCACTTTATCTTTGGGCAAACGAGGGCCAAGCAATACTGCGGCCCGGTAATCTGCAGGGATTTTGAGATCCACGCCCCGCGAATGCTGCTGGTCGAGAAAAATCAGACAGCTTCCCATTCGTTGCTTAAATGCCGATGAGATCAGTTTCTCGCAGTGACCCTCGCGATCGATGGCAGTGACCTCATCGCGCTCATCAAAGAAGATGGCAGCTTCCACATCAGACGATGCAGTCGTGGAAAGCCACCGATATGCGACGCTTTGATTGCTCAGTTCGAGGATCTGCGCACCCACATCAATGATGACCCTGATTGGGGGATTCTGCTGGCTGATAAGATCGAGCAGCTGTTCCGCCTGAAGTTGAAGGCCCATCGTATCCTCTGCCACAATGCAGCGCCTGTTTTCCTCTCGGAGCAAAAGGCTCAGGACCAATGCATTGGTGTGGAGGAGCTGCGGTAGGTCCCGCTGCGGTGCAGACCGTGGGAGGAGGAATCGGTTATCATTCGTCCCGCTAAAACCCGTGGTAAGTGGTTGATCGGGCTTTGATGGCAGATCCCATGCCGAGGTACATAATTTATGAGGAAATTCTTTGGCCTCCTTCGGAAACACAACTCTGGAGAGGTAAAAGTCGACGAGACCCTTTTGATAATGCAGATGGGGATACAGAACCTCCATGAAAGTCGAGGTATCTTCCAGGTTAACACCGGTGAGCACTTGGAGTTGCGGGGTCAGAGTAGATCTAGCTCTACAGATCCAGCCCTGGTACTCGGCTTCGGGGTCATTCTCCTTACCCAGCAGCATAAAGCAGATCCGAACTTGCTCAGGATTGAGGCCATGGTAGTAGTAACTCAGGCATGTCAGAATGATTGCGACATCTGGGTGACCAAACTCAGCGTGCTCGGACGGAATCCCCTTCGCGCGGAAGGGGACCGCCATCATGCATCGGCTCGGATGAAGACCGTAATCCACGAGCCACCTCTTTCCAGCCAGGGCGAACCTGAGAATACCATGGGCCAGGAGGCCTCGCAGAACCAGTAGCTTTCGCAGAGTAGTCCCCTGTCCGAAGGCGTCTCGGATAAACTGAGGCTCCTGCGGCATCAGATGAGCAAAACAAATAAAATTCAGCGCCCGTTGACGGATCCGGCGGCTCCAAAGGTGCAGTGGTAGTCCATTTAGCCCATGCTTATTAATAGCTGAAAGAACCATGCTCATCAAAGTGTCTGCTCTGTCTGTCCTAAGAAATTGAATTATTGGGTACCGGGCACCACGGTATTTGACGCTTATGCCGGATGGATCCTGGTTATGGAGTTCTGTCGCCTGCTGTTCCACCAATGACAGCAAGCTCTGCACGATTTGCCATCGATCACTGTGCCCATCCAGGGACTGCTGGCTCCCAATGGCATACACCAATTGGAACTTCGGGTCGAGAACCTCATCGCTCTCGTCGATAAGATTGCGGCAATTATCTTGCAGCCATGTTTCCAAGTTGATCGCCTTCTGAGCCAGTTTTGGTGTCCGTTCAATCAGGTCTAGTCCGACCAAGCGAAAAGACAATATATGTTCTGGAAGCGCGATCAAGACTCCCCGATACTTCTGACACTGCTCGTACATCTTTCGCAGACTCTTTAGCATCTTCTTGTCCAGAGGCGTATCCCTGGAGAAAGGGAAGTGATAGATCGGACGGTTTAGGATGCGACCCAGTACTTGCGTGAGTAGAGTCAGACTCTGTCGAAGAAGGGGCTTCAAGACAATGATTCGCGGCACTGTAGAGCCATTTGCCAGATTTAGCGCAACCATCGGGGTGATCACGGTAGTCTTCCCCTCACCCATATTCAACTGCGAGACGGCATTTCCAGGCTGGTCAGGGCAAATCATGCGCTGCGCGACTTCGGCTTGTTGGACGCGGATAGTGATATTGTTTTCAATTTCGAGTAGAAGCCATTCTGGGCTCCTCGCGGTATCCCAGCCCTCACTCCCCACTGTCTCGGCTTCCTTGTAGAAGCCATCGGTGTCAGACCGGTTATAACAAGCTAGCAGACGCTTGGATCGGCGTAGAGACGTCACGCTCTGGGCAAACGCTAGCAACGTAGATTTCCACGAATCTGGAACGTGCCACCATTGGTCAGCCACGAGGAGCGATAGAACTGAGAGCACACTGATGTGTGGCCAGAGCAGGGTACTAGAAATGCGTTCTGCGGACCCACTGGCGACGGTTAACGTTTCATGGAGACGGTCCCAGAGGTCGTCTCGCTGTTGCGTGAGAACACGGCAGTGCCGTTCAAGAACGTCCCGCGGCACAGACAGCGAGGTGGGCGAACATGGCCACTCACGCGCTTCCAGAGCCTCGAGGCTGTCCCGCAGGCCTTCCCCTAATTCGCGATGGTACGGATCAGGGTTGCCGCAAAACTCAGAAATGAGAGAATCAAGCTCCGGAGTAGTATCATTATTATAGCACCGTGGAACGCGCGGTCTGTTGAATGTGAGGGGCACCGGTAAAGGTGGGACTTCCGTCGGGATATCATGTGTCCGTAACAGGTCTAGAAGTGAAGGTGGGAAGAAAGATCTCTCTGCGGGACGGGCCTGTTGAGAGGGGGCGGGCGGAACGCTCCGGTTCTGCTCGTCTGGTTCAGTACCTAGCGCCTCCAAGCGGGCCTGGACTTCTCGCAAGAACCGGAGGAACGTGCGGTTTTGGTACCACTGGGTACACAGCAGGGCACAGGCCTCTGAGGCGTTCTGGCGGTCTAGGCGAGGAATGTCCGGTAGCTGGGGTCTTTCACACGGCCATTGGTCGGTGACGACATCCAGACATTGACGGACATGATTCTCCTTTTCGCCCAGATACCTTTCTCTCTCCTCTCGGATTTCCCTTTTGCGTGTGCCTGACAGACCTGACAGATGCGGTGGGTCTCGGAATGGCGTGTAATGGAGGCTAACCTGATCTGCTATTTCAGATGGGATGAGCTCTTCCCCCCGCTGCAAGTAAAGCACAGATTGCCCTCCGAAGCCAGGAACCGCGAGATCAGCAAATCGAGCAGAAAATGCGACCGCAAGCAATGGACGCAAACTGTACAATTGCTCATACCCCCGGAATGCAATGGTGCAGAAAAGAGACATGAGGCTGTATGAGTCCTGTCGCCGGTTTAGCGACCGGCACAGCTCGTACAGAGCACCCCATGCGTCTCTGAATGACAATTGCAGCAGTTCATTGCAGCTAAGGCTGTCAACACGCAGGTTAGCCAGCCGTATGCACTCCCAGTTGCTAATAGTCGCATAGAAATCTGAACAATGAGGCACGCCCGTTGGCCAGTCGCGAACTAGACTGGCGATCTCATAAACGCGGTTGCTTCGTTCACTCCCGCTGCCACGGTCGCGTGCCGAGTACGCAGACGGCTTTGGTGCGCGGCGTACCGTGCTACCTCCGAACTCAGCGGGGTAGAACTGTGCATGGCGCAGACGAGCCCTGGCAATCAGATGTGGCTCTCCCCGGTTCTGGTAACATCGCACATACGCTTCGAGGTCTTCGGTGCTGACATCGTGCAACATGGAGAACAATTGCGCGTGGTCGACGATCTCCTGAACAAGGAACTGAAAGTCGTCGTGCTGTGCCAATTCTCCAAGGTCACTGTTCCACTCAATCGTCTGCATGCACCGTAGATGAGATGGATAATACTTCCGACGGGGCGTCATTGCTGCAAGGCGACCCAACAGTTCAATACAGTCCCTCTCAAGGGGTAAAGAAGAACGCAGTCTCGCCTGCCGCAAGATCCGAAGGGCCTCTGCGGTTCCCGATCGGTGGGTGGCGGGGTCTTCAAGAACAAAGCCGGTGAGTGCATGCATATAAGCTTGATATAGTGTTCCCAACATATCAGAAGATCCTCGAAGCTCCTGCAACTCGCCATCAAGGAAATACTGGAAATAGCGATTGCGAGAGTCCTCCGGTGGTTCAATGCGAATGACCGTATGATTTTTTTTCTTCGACAGTTGAGCATCACCGTACGGTATCAACACTGATCGCCGATCTTTTTCATTGACGTCTCGTAGGATGAGTTTGTTTTTCAGACCATAAAAACATCCGATATCCTGCCTACGATCCACAGTGGCTTGAAGCTCTGGAGCTTCCAACATTCCTTCTCTGTTGACGAAAAACCGCAAGCGTAACCTAGCCAACTCTACCACGACCATGTTTTCGGCTGTTTGATACGCGATCATATAATCCGGTTTGTCCAATGCTACCAGGACCTTGGACAGTTGTACGAAAAGCTGACTGTGTATGTCAACCAAGGTGCAACGGGATCGCATCATAACCGCCGGTCCTGCACATGTAAGGCTCATCGACAGACGCCAGTTATCGGAATCAGATTGCCACGCCTGTGCCACCGGACGAAATTCTAGCGTTTTATCTTCCAGGTTGAGCCAGTGCGCATAATCGAGAAGTAGACACTTGGGAAAGTCGCCAATGAGCTGGTCGTACGGAATAAATCGGAGCACTTGGCTGCCTTGCTGAGCCGTGATAACCAAACGATCTTCTTCTATTCCGAAATGAACCTGGACAATACAATGAGATTTCTAGATCCACCGGTGCTCGCTCAGCGAAGAGAAATTACCTGGTAGCCCTCGAATGGCCGCGCAGACATGAATCTGGATCCGGGCAGGTTTGATGGGAGTACGGTGAGCGTTCGCTAGGACAGTCAGCGCGAATGTGCTAGAGGAAGAGGTTCGTAATTTCGCGCTTACCAAACCAAAAAGACGTCGAAAGGTCGGATGTTGCGTATAGCTCTCCGGAAGACGGCTAGGGGGGGAATTATCGACAAGGAGCTCGCCGCTGAGCAAATCATACCGCACCTGCTGCTTCTGTCGCACTCCATCGGGCGCTAAGTGATTTATCGCCCATCGGGTCAAGCTACCGTGACCGAAGCTCCACGGGGTAGTAATGGCCGTGTTCGGCACACTTTCTTGAATTGCATAGTTGAGGCCCGATGCATCTTGCTGGATCAGCTGACGCGTACGTGCTTCGACACGATGCAGAATTCTGGAGGTCTGCACCCACGCAACAGTCGCTGTCGGATTATTCCCCCTCATCTCCGGTGGCATACTCTCAAAGACAATAACGGAGGCGCGGATGAGATGGAAGAGATCCTCCGTGTTGCGTAAGATTATCGGGACAAGGTGCGACTCAACGGCATACGTGAGCTGGCAGATTCCTCCGACCCGAACGAGTAATTGCTGCTGCGCATGACCCTGTACGCCTGTCTGTGAATCTAGAGTAGTGATGAGGCTCCCTATCCACTGCATTGTGACCTGCCGGCTGCGACACAAAAACGCAGCCGCCCGTTCGACCACAACACCTACTTCAGACAGGCTGAGGGTGCGGAGTGCAAGGACGATCAGCGTTTCCAGAGTATGATGCTCATTCCAATTTGCTTCAATAGTGTCGAGCCGGCGTTCCAGAGTCTCCAGTAGACACTCGCTGAAAAACCTGTCCTCGAAGACGCGGTGGGCCTCTCTCAACTCCGTGTTCTTGCTAGGTGTGCCTAGCTCCCATGCCGCCTGGCGGATGAGAATGCCAACGGACTCTTCGTTCAACGAGAGAGCGGGGGATGCGAGCTCACGCACGATGTTGAGCCATTGTACACGTTCACCCGCGCGCAAGCAGCCAAAAGCAACGAATTCGTGCAAACTCAGTGACTGGTGGCAGTGCGCTTGGTCCGCGAGGACCTGGTTCTGGGTGTGTCGGAAAGAGTCCACTGCATATTGAAGATTGGAATAGCGCCCTTGTGGGAGACGAAGCGTGCACGACGGTTTGACAGTTGAAGACTCTGTCTGGTCAGTAACCCAGCCATTCCCACTGCTGTCGCTGTCAAGAAGCCGGAGTTGAAAGGGATACGGCCGATTGATTTCCTGAAAGTCCACCGGAAATGTTCGACAATTGTAATGGGTCCGTCGCCATGACTTTGTCTTCGAACCTAGAGTGAGGCGCTGGCCCCACTTGACGGCAAACCTGTGGGTCCCACTATAATTCAGCAGATTCTGCTCCATATCCTGCGCTTTCTTCAGTTCACGTCGACCAAAGTCCTGGACGATTTTCCAGGTCAAATCGCGCCATGCCGCAAACCAATGGGGACAGACTAGCTCAAAGAGCACAGACCTCAAACTGCTTCCATCATTCGGAAGAGGCCATTCAAAGCTCTCAATAGTGATGTCCTCGGCCTGTTCCACATATGAGCACTTTCTACATGTTCGCACGCAGCTATAGCGTCCTCGCGAGTTCAGCTCCATATCGTGTTCGAGCTGTGCAGCTTGAGCGTACAGCTCGCGGTATTTACTTGATTTTAGGTTCCACTCCATTTCTTTTTCCCTCAGTTGGCCCTGGGCATACTGCTCAATCTCTTGCCGCAGTGGCGGGAGTTTAACAGACAATTCGTAATATGAGACCGCAAAGCTTTCGCTCCCGGGATCGCGATATATTGAACCACATCTTTGGTCCCGATGCCGGACGCGAATATAATTCTCGATCTCTTTTGCTCTGCGCATCTGGCAACGGTGTGGTAAGAGCAGTGGCTCGAGAAAATTGACCGGGATCTCGGGAGAATACTTTTTGAGAAGCGGACACACTGCGGTACACATGCGATCGAAGGTAACCCATAACTCTAACTGGGTTAGTCGCATGACTGACATTGCCTCAGGGTTACCCGCGAAGAGTTCAGTCGCGCATTTGTCATACTGGCCAAATCGATCCGCTATCGCACAAATGGAGTCCCCTGATGGAATCACTGTTTCAGCCCAGGCACCCATATCGTATTCGACCCAACGCTCAAAGTCCAAAACGGAGATGAGGTCACGTTCCTTTGGTATGGGAAGGCCGTGATGATCACGTTGGTCGCGAGTCTGGCCATGATGATCAAACTCCGGGATTCTCACAACTGTAGGACCTGGCGACATTGCTGCCGCAAGGGCGGTAGTCGATTGAGAAAGTGTCAAGTGGAAATCTTGCGGAGTGCACACAAATCTTTCTGGAATGATAATCGAGTCACTTTCCCTGAATCTCATCTGAATGTCTGCCAATCTGGTCTTAAGTGCTCTTTCTGCCGAGAGTGCACGTTGCGCCACAAAATTGTTGACCTTATCATCTAGTTTGCTGATACGACGAGCAATCTTGAACCGGATCACCTGTAGCTGATCAGCGCAGAGTGTGCTTGGCATGACGTTGGTATTCAGGGCGATTTGGGCAACGAGGTAGAGCATGAAATTCTTATATTGGCGATGCCCCTCGATATCGCCGAAAGCGCGTTGAAGAACAGTCTGTAGTGTGACTCGTATCACGAACCAAAGGGGAGATCGTCTCCAGGGAAGTCTACTATTTCTCCAGTTGACCTCATCGCGCATGTGCTTGTCAAAGGACGGCCAATTGTTGTAGATTCCTCGTGCTAGAAGCTGGATCATGAGGTTTTCAGTGACCATTCCAGGATGGATGGTGTCGCGCTCCTCAAGAGCCTGCGCTCCTGCTTTCCTAGTAGTGGGGACCATCTTGTCCACCGTCTCGCTAGAGAGGCGACCAATCTCTCCTGCTAACCAGGAGCAGAACTTCGGCTCGTCAACTACACATGCTGGGACAGCCACGCTCAACCCAGGAAATTGCCGAAGAAGACTCCCCTCCGCAGATAAAACATCTGCTGCACGGGGGGATGCTTCAAATGCATCGAAAATCAACTTGTCGCCAGTCTGGTCATAGTAGGCCAGCCAGCCGCAGTTCTGAGCCCGGATGTGAAGCGCCACAGCCCCTGTTCACTAATATCAGTCAAATCCTGGAAAAAAAGGAAGGATAACTATACCGTGAGCTCGTATATTAGAGAGGGCGTCTCTCAAAGTATCTTCGCATAGAGTGCCTCCTTTTTCAATCGACATCCATAGGTTTAGCATATTGATCGTGATGTTCCAGGGTCCCGTTGACTCTGGTGGACAATTACTAGCAAAATCTTCTAGGGTGCTTGAGACCAGCCGATATAACCCCCGCTCCAATGGCTCCTCCTGGTCGGAAGCTTCTGTCTCATTGTGCTGAGGCAGCATTGGAGGGTGAACAATATGGTAATAGATGTACTTGAATGCGCGTGTGGACATTTTGAATGATTGATCGTAATCGATGTACTAAAATCGAACGGTATTTTTTCTTGTTTTCCTCTTGATGTATATAGATTATCGGCTTCTTTCTCTGCTGCGTCTTTGGGCAAATAATTCAATATTCTCGGTCCTCTTCCTTGGATTTATATTTGCGCTTTCCACATTAATCCCAGCTCGCAGTATTGGTGGTTTCCTGTCAATGCATGAACGTCAACGACAATTGTCTACGAGGCCGGATAGTGAAGTCGTCAGAGTGACAAGGGCCGAACTTTAAAAGAAGGTCCAGGCATAGCATTTACTATGTAGAATCCCTTCATTCCATGTTTGCGAGACACCCTAATGTAACCTCATGTGAGGAAGATACATTGTTTATAACTTTCCGTGGTTCAAGCTCGGCCAATAATTCGGGTCTCCGTAGGAGATTTACGTTCTCTGGATGTGAATCATCGAAAGTTTGCTTGGTAACTTAGGACAAATAGTAAGCTTTTGTAACCTGTCTAGCGTCCATTCAACTATTAAACTTCGCAGGCCCAGCTTTGGTTGGCATCTAGATGCACAATATGTCCTTTTTATCGTTTAATTCGCATTGGCAGACCCATTAATTTGCTGTGCGTATGGAACATAGACAGCAGACAATATGTCACGAAGTGTGGCGGCAAGTAGCCTTTTCGTAGCTGGATCCGACTCATGCTTAATTCTGCTGGGGTGAAACCCCGGCACTAGACGGATCTCACGTTGCATGAATCGCACTATTCGCGTTTTTTTCTGCATTGCTTCCTCCATGGAAGAGCAAAAGAGCTGAGCAATTGGATGTTCCACGCTACTGAGAACGGCGTGCTTCTTTACCGAACAAGGATTTGTTGCACACTGTAAAATAACCACGGTAGAAGGTTGTAGAGCCTCCAGGTATTGCGCAGTCAACTCGTACGCGTCCCTTATCGCCTGCCGCAGTTCACTCAACTGTCCCGTCCGGGCCTTCATTTGGGCCCAGTCATCACTGATCATTGGGCATATGTCGTGGACGGGAACATTATATTCAATATCGAGGCCAATGTCTTCGAGGAGATTTCGGATCCACGTCAAGGCGGAATCTGGTGTAAATATGTCCTGGAAGTCTTCGCCATGATTCTTGTATGGGTTTTGCAGTAGGATCACAGGCATGTGGCAGTATCCGGCTGCTAGTCGAACGTAGTTTTTGTAGCAGTTTATTTCCAATCCGTAACGTTCCTGAAGCGCTTTAGCGCCCAAGAATATAGGATCATCGTCACCAAGCTGAAGCCACTGATTTGTGGTCACTGGTGGGGTGTTTGCCAATGTCATACCTGTGATGCCGTATGAATCCATCATGTTGGTCATGCACACTTATTGGAGCTATTCGAGTGATGTAGACTTATTGACCTCGAATATTCTTTTGTGAGGCAAGGAGAGAATGCCGAATAGTAAGAATAATGTACTACGTCTGGAGGAATACATGTTGCCCGAAGTTTGGGGATTTAGGCTGAGCCTTGGCTCGCTGATCAGAGGCCGGCTGGTATTGCTGGTTCTGGCTAGCTATGGTCCGAACTAAGTTTCAGCCTGTCGAAATGCCTATTGCGAATCTATCTCACTGGTAACTTCATAAAAAAAGCGAAAGTATTGACGTCACGCCCTTGAAAGCCTTTCCGGTTCGTCGGATGTAGTGGCATCACAGTGATACATTTCAGCCCGTGAAAACACCGAAAGAAATATGTACCTTCGCCTATCACTCAGCTTGTGAACGTTACGTGGTTGGGTGAATACTGACACCCTCCCGTTTCCAGGGAACCGAGACGTAGGGTTGCACTTCAGATACTGTGTATTCTTCTGAAAGCAGTTGAAATCGATAGTGGACCAATTCACTCAGATGTATAAACTTCGGCGTGGACCTTGATTTCCAATGACGTTGCCCCAATCCTCTCAAGGGCTATATGCCCGCCACAACATGTCTCTAGTCTGTTCAGCGGTCGTCAAGATACTGGCCCCTTCCAGGACTAGGAAATTTTCAATTAAACTGGATAAAGGCGCAAAGAAGCATCGAGAGACACCGTCGCAAGAAGACTCAAGTCGTGGGTCTTCTTATGCGTTTGAAAGTCCAACAACAGTTTTGCTATACGAAAGCCATTGTCGAATAACATGGAATGACGTCTCACTGACGCGGAAAATAGAACATTCTCGCCACCAGTTGTTTAGAAACATGTATCTTGGGACGTCATTCATCCCATCACTATCCTCTGGGTTGTACAACTAGTGTACTGACTCTGTGTTCATCAACATCATGCTAGCATTATGAGTTATCATATCTGCACAGAAGATGGCAACGAATTTTGGGCTGATGCGGATTTAATCGAGCATTTACGAAAGCAGCACTACGCTAATTTTATCAGAAGACCTGGACGCCTGGGAATCATGGACAACCATGGGCATATCTGGTATTGCTTCGAATGTGAACGGTCTACAAGCGATCATAGGAGTTTCAACTCTGACCGAGCCATGCTGAGCCATCTTAAAGATTGCCACCGAGATCTTACAGCTTCTGTCTGTGAGCATTAGCCCGAAATGCTTCGTATATCGTTGTGCACAATTTGCTTCACACAAAGGTTCGGATTGACTGACAGAATTCGTCGTGGGTCAAGGTGGATGATGTTGACGATGATGAAATTCATAGGCTGACCCTCTTGCCGTAAGCATGACTTCAGCTTTCTGTTACCGACTCATTTGGTCCAGAGGACAAAGGTGATAGCGGCGAGGTTTCGTATAGTGACCCGTTATGGCTGTTTCTTAGGCCCCGCTTTCGAAAAAAAAAAGTTGGAATGGTATGAGGCAGAACACATGTAACCACAAGTCTAGTTGATTTCCGGTATGATTAATCATATATCATCACTACATAAGCGCACATCAGAGCCTTCCATTGAAGGTCTGTGATCGTTCAACGCCCTCTTCCGCGGGCGGTACAGCAAAGAGTCCCATTGTGAGAACACGGCGTAGGCGTCTACGCTCTTGTCCTGTTCTGAAAATCATTTTCTGAACCCTGCTAGCCATTCTGTCCAAGGCATGGACAAGTCGTAGACTGCTGTAGACATTCATAAGCTACCTAAAATTAGGAGGGATAATCCCCACTATGGGTTGCAGTTGCAGTTTGCAGTTTTGTTCATTCGCCGTCCCAGCCTATCATAGTCGATGGCTATGCGGGAATCGACCCACCGCTTAAGGGCGGTGAGAGCGATTAGTAATAACTATTTACACCTCTAATGATTCGCTTGACTGAGGGCTTGGCTCCACTCGGACGTCTGCCCAGGGGTTCCCCAAGTCCTCTTTGGCTTCTATGTACCCATTGACCTCAGTGCTCTGCCTCATCTATTTTGTCCTGCCGTACAGCTCCAAATTGCCCAAGGTCTTCGGGGAGACCCCCGTCCCTATCTCAGTGATATATGGCTCGGAGGAGTTTTGCTCCAAGGGCGCTTTGTACGACAAACTTGCCGTCCCGTTGATGACTTGATTTGCATAATCATTGGCAAACCGCATAGTATAGTTACCTGCAGGCCGATCCAACTTGGCCATGACGGAATACCGGGCTCCGATTTGGATGGTGAGGGCATCGACAAGCAGGGGCTCAACATATCGACCATCTACCGCATAGATGTACAGCGGGTGCTCATCAATTGAAAATACTAGCGAGGAGCTCCCAGCAATGTTGATCAAGTCGTAGCTGACGTATTGTGAAGCAGGATCAACAAAGAAGACTTCGGTCTGGCCCTAGCTGGTGTGCAGTGGGAATTCCGATCGTGCTGAACGGGAAGAAACCCAGGCGGGCTGCAATAGGCGGTAGGCAGCTAATAGTCACAAGGTTAATACATATTCTGAGAAGTTCACAAAAAGTCACAGGCAGACAGGCACCTACCCCATATCAGACATATTTCTCCCCTTGAGCAATTCTTTCAATTCTGGCCGGGTGAGCTCATTGATATGCTCCTGTGGCGGACAAATCATAGATCCCTTGCCGTTCACGAGGATGGAACTAGCACAGTAACTCTCAACCCCGGATAGTTCCTCAATGTTCAAAATTTCCGCTGAAGTCAGACGCCGCCGGTCTGAAAGAATAACCGGCTGGGTATTCTGCTCCGCCTGCCTCAGCAAGTCCAGCTGCGTTTCATCTGCGCTGATCAACGAAAATGGCCTCTCAATGTTGTCTGCTGGCTCGATATAGATGGCTCCGTAAAAGCCGTCGTCTATCCACCGCGTGTGAGATCCTTTCTGCTACTACGGATTCCAGTACCTTGCCCAGCGTCGCGAGTAGCGAAATCGGTCTCCATGCTTTGGCAATGGTGTAGTTCTCTTTATTCGGCTTTTTGAGCGGTATGATCTTCGCATGTTCCCACTGTCTTGGCAACGTGCCTTCTTCCAGCGACGCCTGGAAGAGATCCAGGACTCTGTACTTGACCGTGGGCCAAGTCATCTTCCAGACTATTGCTGGCAGACCGTCTTCGCCGGGTGCCTTCCAAGACTTTGCCGCCATCAGCTGTCGTTCGATCTCCTCCATCGTGATGGCAGGCATCTCGACTGGCGCTCTCTGTGGTCGAGTCCCTTCATCGTCAATGTTGTCCGGCAGGGCCGGGAAGAATTTGGCCAGCAATTCTTCTGCCTGCTCCGTATGATCAGTGGTCGTGGTCCCATCCGCTCTGAGGAGCTGCGGGATCTCTCCGACCGCTGCGTCTTCTCCCGACTTTAGGTATCTAGCGGCTTTCCATATGTTATCATTGTCGGCAAGAAATTGATTCCAGTGCTTTTTCTTTTGTTGCCGGATGGCATCATGGTATTGTCTTGCCGCGCCTCGGGCCATCGTCGCCAGGTAGGGTGCTTTTCGTCCCGCCCGTCGCTCGGAGCGGGCGTGATTTCTCCAGTATGTGTGTATGTGACGGAGCTGCGTTAAATCAGCGGTCCACCACCGCTTCGCGTATGGTGATGGTTTTGACTTTGGTGTTAACGCATGCACCGCTTCTGAAACCGCCGACATGAGCCGGTCGGTTTTCTGCTGCACTGTGCCCTCCGCAGGAGTGGCGGCAAGAATGTTCGCTATCCTGGCATTGATCCCTTTTCATGGAGCATTTTTCAACAGAGGTCGTCCCTGATGCTGTGGGAGCGACCAGGGCGCATCAAAGACGGTCTCAATAGCGCAGTGGTCCGAGCCGTGCTCCGTCCCGAGTATGGCACACTTAATCACGGATTCTGTTAGGTTGTCTGAGGCCAGGACCAGGTCGATCGTCGACTCGCAGTCCCCGCTGTATCCTCCGCCATGCCATGTCTTTGTACCTCGTTTGAGAAGACTGCTGAGGGCACATTCGTTCATGAGGTCGATGATTGGATCCGCTTCACCTTGTCTTCTCAAAGATACGTCGTCTCCTCCCCAGAGTTGGTCCTGCCGGTTGAAATCTCCCATATTCAAAATCTCCACCACCGCACCCGTATCTCGCCGTAGCTTCGTGATTGCGTTGAGTAGATGATTGCATGTGTCGTCCAAAGCTGAGGCATTGTCCCCTTCCACGTAAACTGATGCCATGAAATTCAGTCGCTCGGGAAGCCTGATAACCGCTGCCGTGAGATCCGGGGACTCTATTGGCACTTGTTCCGCCTCGACATCTTTGTTAATCCAGAGCATGCTTCGAATTGCCCACCTGCCTTCCCTCCAAGTAGAGGGAACCATCTTCGTCCATCTGTGGTGTCCCATCGGGGTGGTCAAGAGCCGGCCTTGAATCCTCCTCGCTTGGGGTTCTTGAATCGCTAACGCCACCGCGTTCTGAGTTTCTTCGTCATTCATTAAGCTCTCGTGCACTTCACCCTGTTTTCTCACATTCAGTTGGATAACTCGAAGAGACTTATTCATGATGCGAAGGGTAGATTTTCCGACAGTTTTTGCTGTACGATTCGTGAGGGCCTCCGCATGGAATGCACTTAGGAATCGTTTGATTGCAGCTACTGTGGTGATGGCCCTCCGCGGCATATTTTGCACAATTCTGCGTGTTCTTGCACTGGAACGCCTTATGCCCAATCTCTTGGCAATTGTAGTATTGCATCGGTCGGGGTCGGTTTTCAAAGGTGCTGGTCACGCCGGATTCTCCCCCAGCGTGAAAGAACCCGTCGGCCAGGAGCCTCCATGCATCACTGCCTTTGGTCAGATAAACGACCATTGACCCATAGGCCTTCGAATTCTCCTTTCTGCTAAGCCACGCGATCTTGACGCTGTCGACTTTGATCGGGTACAGTTCATCGCGAAGCACTCGGGCACCTGCGCCGACCTTGGTTTCCGCCACCTTCTTAACCAACTGGTGGTCAGCCTCATCTCGGCAAGCAATTCTGATCCGGCTGGTGTTCTTCGGGTCCACGGTGACAGCGCGGCACTGCCAGTTCATGTAGTTTTCCATTGTCCGGATCTCGGTCTCAACTGCCGTTCTAATTGGACCTGCTGATGGTCTTTCATTTTCATTATCTGCCATCTTCGAGGTGTCTATCGTGCAATATAGCGTATCGGTGAAGGTGGTCGGTGTCGTGAAGGTGGTCGGTGTCGTGAAGGTGGTCGGTGTCGTGTTCCACGTTGAGTCCGTACATTGCTCAGTTGGCTGGTGTGGGGAGTACGGGAACATCTGCATAGGACCGGGATCCTGAAAGATTGCCTGCAATGCGTAAGGATTGGATTTCGCGAAGGATTTCCTCGTGGCAGCTCTGAGCGCATGACTCGGGGTGGGATTGCGGTGTCGGGTGTGGATTTGCCAGGGTCTGTAACTCATGTTGAACCTTTGCGAGGCCAGCGCCAAATTCTTCTTTGACTCTCTGGAGCTCCTCCTTGTATAATACATCTCGTCGTCTGATTTCTCTCCTGAGCTTAACAATCTCTTTCACAAGTTTGGAGGTGTCTGAGTCCTCGCTCTCTACCGAGGAGTCGTCCGAAGTCGCCGCGTCACGTTGGGCGACTGGCTTGCCCTGATTCTTCTTCTTTCGCTGGGAGCGCGTGTTTCTCTGCTCAGTATCGATCTCTTGCTCTTGAGCGTAGTGGGCTGGTGGTCGTGTCGTGCGTTTCGGCCTCACCAACCGCGGTGGCGAGTTTTCGCGTTCGTCGCGGTCGGGCGGTTCAGGGGTTCACGTCTCGGCCCGTCCCGACATCTTTCCTCCCCACGTTCAAGAAACAGTCGCAACAATCCGTTCCCGGTTTCCTCTCGGGCCAAACCTCAGGTTCTACAGTGATCTGCAGAAACTCGGCGATGTAAAAGATGATACACGTCAGCGGGCATATTGTCACGTGGAACAAACAAGGGCGAAGAAGGCTCGCTGGCTGGTGACCATGCTGGCGGAGTGTAAGGCATATATGTCTGAGAGGACGGCTTGCCAAAAAAAGGCGTAGTATACGCTCCGTCTCACTTCCAAAGACGACAGGTTCCTTTGCATCGATGTTACCGAATGCAGCCGGTCCAGGAAGATATGCGGGCGGTCCAGCGGCTGAGCATATTCAGGAGGAATTCCATATCGGTCTTTCAATTTCATCGCCCGGCCAGCGGTAAGCGTCATTGGCAGTTCTTCGTTCAGCATTGCGCGAGCAAAACAACCAGTAATTTGCTCGATCAAAGACTCGAAGGTTTCTCGGTCGTAGTGGTAGCGATCAGGCTTCCGAGCTTGGAGCAGCGCCGCCCGAGCGATCTGCCGGTCCGCAGATTGCTGGAGGATTGCGCTAATTTGCGTAGTTCGAAAACCCAGCTTCCGAGCAAGAGTAGCCATATCATGAATCACGCTCTCGTCCGCCTTCGCCCGCGCCTTTGCCCGGGCGGGGTTGGCAGCCTGGCCGCCCCGGATATTCTTGGCCATGTCCGGGTAATGTCGCATAGCATACAGCCAGATCTGGCGGTATGCCAACGACAGTCGTTCGTCGTTAGGCCCCGGCTGTCGGCGAAACGTGGTTTCAGACGTCTGGATCAGACAATCTGTGTCAGAGGGACCCGGTCGAAAACTGTGCACTAGTGCGCGCCGAATGGTGGGGTGCTGCTTGTTCAAAGCAACCAGCCGTTTGACAGCATTGGCACAGACTTCGAGGTACAAAACGTCGCGGAAAAACGTATGGAGGGACGGGATGATGCCGTCGCACGTCTCGTGCGACCGTAGGCTCTCCCAGATCGCGACCCGTTCCGAGCGGCTGAAGTTGGAAAACACTTCGCCACTGAGGATTTTACCTTTCACGATCTTCCGATCAACTGTAGACGCCCGAGGGGCATATAGTTGTAGTGTATCCACCGTATGTAGATCGATTCGGGCCATTTGAGCACGGTCATGGCTGACCAGCGTCGCCCAGAAATTCTTCACATGCCTCAAGTAATGAATCACCTCCTATCAAGGTCAGGAATCTGGCGACAGCGACTGAGAGGCGGACTAACTTCGTCACACTTCAGCGCCATCACAATGGAAGACGGTTGATATGGGAGGCAAGACACACCCAGTGCTTCAGGTAAGTTAACCTAGTCAGGCACATGGTTCTGCAGCACGTCAGAATGGTCGAGCATGCCGGCATCGCGGAGCCATCCAAAGAGGCATTCCATTTCTTCTTTCCCCAGTTTCCGGATCTCATCCAAATCAACACCAAAGTCGTGCGTAAACTGGCCAGAGGTGAGAATACTCTGGGAGAATGGTCGGAACTGACTAACCTTTCGGAGATCCGTTGCGCTCATGGGAACAATGCCTGCACCAGGATCCTACAAGCGACGATGAGCGATGGGGAAAGTGCAAAAACCCTGGAGATTACCTCAATGCCGACCGAGACTATTTGGATATTTAAACACCCGTCTCGGAAGTCCGACGAGAGCACCTCTTCCTCTGTCACCAGTTGATGCCATCGAATATGTCCACCTTTTTTTGCAACCTCCCAGCACGAGGGACCTCTGCTGCAGAGGAAGTAAAAATAACCGTCGGACCTTCCCGCCGAACCGGTTGACCAACTAGAGATATGTGAGCGTCTTATCGGAGTTCGAACACGGTTTACACACATCGGAGCGTATGTCGTCGTAAAGATAAAACACTACTGTATCATGAATCTCCAACCAGAAAGGTGAGCAGTTCGGTCTATACCCATGGACGGGATGAGGGAGCACCTACAGGAAGGCCGAGCAAGAGACGGTGCATTATAGCGGACCAGCCGCAGGGTAAAAAAAATAAATACGGTGAATAATGAAGCGGCCTAGGGTAGCGAGGGAAAATGATCGCGTGTGAGGTTGTCCGGTCGGCAAAAAGGTTAGAAGGAAGGGCGGAAGAGAAGAGGAAGGAGGAAGAGTGAAAACATGGCAGAAAGAGAGAAGGGGGGTAGCGACTATCTATAGGGAAAGGGAGCCAAAATCGGCCGCCAGAAAGGACTGTGAAGGTGGTCAAAATGATCAAAGAAAGGAGCGTCCTGCGACAAGAATCGATGGCCTTGGTCTGAAATCGTGGCCCTGGACCGGAAATTTGAATAAATTGCGTCAACCCCACCTGCTCCACGCACGCCAGCAGTTCCTTGCAGATCAGAGGGGACACAATAATACAGCGATACCTCAGAATACGTATGGAAAACAAAAATAACCGTCCAGTTTCTCGATTCCATGACCTTCTCTTCACTTCTACCCGATGTCTCCGTAATTTCTATGGTTATGATTTCAGTTCGCTATGCTCTCCAACCATGATTTCCCGCATTATCACCGACTTCTCAATCGCTGGGCTGGTACTCCAACTCGGAAAGCTTTACTCCCTTGTGGAGGTATTCTCGTACTACTCCCCGTATGCAATCCCGAAGCTCGTCCGTTGCCGAGACTAGCCAGGATAGTTAGCCAGTACTCCACATGGGGAATCGGAACACCTTACCCATGACCAGCATCCGGCCTTCCTCGTCCCACATGTTCGGCAGTCTTTCGATCTGGTTACCGCTGGCTTCGAGAGAAATTATGTTTTGGTAATCTGGTAATCCCTGGTATAGATAGACTCGTTCGTGGTCCCCCAATAGGAACTTCTTATGGCCAAGGCCGTCCCTAACGTAAATAGAGATGTGGAGTATCTAGACCCATGGATATGATCAGCCTCAGACGGATTTTCCCGCGTTGACGCAGTACCCACATAGCCTCCATCCACGATATCATCCTTCAAAAGGCGATTCAGTAGGGTCAGGGCTGCGCTCATCTCGTCGATTGATTCTACCTGCCACACTAGATGCAGCCGGCGGATCTGAGAGGTGCAAGTATTGTAACCGTAGATCGCTTTCTTCAGGTATGGTATGGCCCCGGCGACCCCACATCCGCTGGCAAGCAATAATATAGTTTCGTAGTGACCAACTTCTTCACTCACTCCATGAGGGCCAGTGATCAGGGCCAAAAAGAAAATGGAGCTCCCCTCTCTCTGCTCGTCAGTGGGTGCGTAACGGGCAAGATCCGCAGTTAAGCCTCTGCGTGCCTTCACCAGGAGCTCCATGGTGTCCTGCTTGCCTTTGGACCACGATATGACGGTGAATGGATGTGTCTGCATCCACGAACATAGACTGACCGACGGCATCCAGAGATTGATATATTGACCGGCTTCCACTCTCACAGGTTGAGGTAAGAGGACACGGACATGGACAGCGTTCACCACAATATCTTCCTCTGCCTTGCTCACACTAAATGAGACGATGGCCCTGGGAGTGCCGCGGCCCGAGAACAGGCCGTTTCTATATAGGAAAACTATACTCTGCGAGAGTAGAGTCAGTCCACAAACACCCAAAGCAACCAAGAGATATATTTCTGAGGCATGGCTGTGGGAGGGAAGGTGTTGCCAAGTGCCATAGACAAAGAGCCCAGCGAAAATTTGATGTGCTCGGAGGAAGATCTCGTAAGACAACCGTCGAACCGATGGGAGAGAAAGCAGGACAAGCAGGCCCAGTGAAATTGCGGCCTGTTGCACGTCAGTTCACTTGAGGTGGAGGATTGAATACCCGAGGCTATACGTACAAGTAGGGTAAAAAGGTTTCGTACTTCCCGAAGTGGGAATGTAAAGCCCTGTGTCTGAAGTGCCACTATCATATGAAATGATAGCAGAGAAACAGTCATCCAGCCGGTAGCACGATGTATCTTGCGACAAGAGTTCCACGTGATACCTAGAAGATCAGCCAGGTAGCTCAGATGAATGGCAGACAAAGGGAACACCAAGTTGACAAGGGCCAACTCTCCAGCCCGGCGGCCAGCCCCGGTCAAAGAGTCTATTTTAAAGCAAATAAGTAAGAGATTGACTGCCAGATATGTCAGATGCAGTAGCGCGCTGGCTCTAGTCCATGGGCCACAGAGACGATGCCTTCGAATGACGAAAGGGAGCGTCAGGTGTCGAGATACAAAGATATGAAAGAAATCTGCCCAGCTTGTAACGCTAGACAAAGTCTGGATAAAGAAGAATGCAACAAAAATGCCGCCAGCGGCAATCGCATAGATGGCTACAATGTCCATTCTGCTATGAAGGATAGACAATGTGTGTAGCGGAGAAAAGGATGGGAGGTAGGGGTAGACAAGTCGTGAAGAGCAGACCTTTTTATACTACAGGAGGCTGAGGACAACGTCCTCGGCGCTGAAGTTCAGTGAAGGACAAGTGAACAGGCTGCCCTGCCGGTAACTCAAATCATTAGACCCAAGAGTTTCTAGGTAAGTATTAAGGTAGGTCGTGCCTCTAGAATTAGACGAAAGTCAAGATGCCAATAGACTACGGCGTGCCGACCTTTAGTTTTATTGATGAAGAATCCATTCTGAGATTGGATACATGTCAGGATGTGAGACCTACGTGGTCGCCGCAGCATGGATGGTGGAAAGCCCATGGAGATCTCCCGGTAGATAAGGACTAAGCCTTTTTCGGTTAGGTTGGCACTAGCGAGCTTCAGCGCTTCCGCATGGTTTGGCGGAAGAAAGAGTTACCTTCAGCAGCGCAACCTCCCTGCATCCAAAGATCAAAGCCAGACTAGCAGGCGGTTTCTTGCGAATTTCCCACAAGTGCTCCAGGAAAAGAGCAAGTTCCGAGTTCAGAATTTGATGCCACCATCGGCAAAGTGAGAGGCGGGAGCCGGGCAGCGCCAGAACGAGTCTTGAGACAACTTGTTACTATCAGTCCCTGTCAGCCGACATCACGCAGGTCTTGGGTATCGCACCTCCGGTATGGGTTAATCGCACCCCCCGCGAGCCGATATACTGATCGATTGGACATATGGACTGTACTATCTGCCCCGCTTTAGGCCACCAAGTTTCATGAGGGATACTATCAGGTCCGACTCCCGCAGTCCCCCTTCCCATTATCAAGAAAGCATGGCTCCTATCCGTCGAGCGAAGTTTCATGCAGCGAGACTTCATCGACCCTGGCCAGCGACCTCGAAAATGCACCGCCAACCGAGAAAGATATCCGCCTCCATTCAGCGCCCGGTCTACATCTTCAGCGGAAAGGGTAACCTTCTCATCACGTCGCAACGAATATTAACGGCCCTTACCAACGCTCATCGCACCCATAACACCCCCTCGACTCGTCGTGGTCTTTCCTCGCGTTCAATTCTGGACCATGGATCGCCCCGGTGTCAACCCATGGTTATTTAAACCTGCCATCTCCTCATGGATTAGAGTTGGGTAAATGGTCCCTGGCCCTTGCACAATGGCAGCGAAACGAAATCTCATCAGCAGACGCCGCTCCAACGGCCTCAGATCAATACGCCAGCAACAGACTCGTCGAAGAAACAGTCTTCTCCGGAAGTCCTTCGAATATTGTCGGGAGTGTGATGCCGATGTCTTCATGATGATACGGCTCAGACACAACGGCCAAATAGTGTTTTTCAATTCTGACAGCCAATGGCCTCTATCACGGGAGCAACTGGTAGGTGTCGTCACTATTCAACAATTATCCGCTGACGAGATAGGCCTCGCATTACCCGAAACCTCAAGAGACAACATGGCACGCATTGGCTGCAAAATATAGCAGCCCCAGGATACGCGATGAAAAAAAGCCCCCAGGAAAAGTAATTGATTAGCGCTATCAGACGGACATTCCCTCAACATGATTTGATCCAACTCTTCCCTGTGATTCTCATATTTCACTTGTCACCTGCCGCCTACATCTTCCCATTAACCACTCAATCCTTTGCTTTCGCCACCCAGCTCTCTATACCAGAAACCGCGTCATAGGGTGACTTCTTCCGCTCCAGAAGAAATGATAAAACCTCTGCCGGGCTGAATACTTGCTCGGGTACTTTGCTGGCAAACTCACGAGCAAGCCCCTCGATCGTTTCGTCGTCATATCTCTCGTTGCATTGCTTTTTGTTCGGCAACTGCTTGAAAACCGTGCGGAAGAGCTGAGTGGACATGTTCTGATCGGCGAGTTTGAAATTGACTTTCTTGTCTGATCGGCCAGGCCGAACCAGGGCTTCGTCCAGATGGTCGATATGATTCGTGGTCATGATGAGTATCCGGCCCTCTTGAGACGAGACACCATCAAGCACATTCAGTAGGCCGGATAGAGTGACTGCAGATTGTGAATTGCCATCTTGGTCTGTGTCGACACTGCCCCGACGCCCTACCCCAGCGGTATCCACGTCCTCTAAGAGAACAATACAACGCGGTGGAAGTTCGGCAAAAAGCCTCATTAGCGTGCTGTCCGAAATATTCGATAATTGAAGCGTATAGATGTCCAGTTCATGCTTTCCCGCGAGCGATAGACTGAAGCTGGATTTTCCAGTCCCGGGGGGGCCGAAAAGAAGGTAGCCTCGCTTGTACGGAATACCGCGTTCTGCGTACCAGTCTTGCATGTCTTGGTCCAGAAACTCGTCCACATCTCTCAAAATGTCATCCTTTACCTCCTCGTCCATGATAACCGTGGAGATAGGTCGAACTGGTCTCAGTTTGGCTTTCTTCCACTCCCCTTCCCGGTGCTCGAAGACCGAGATCTTCCTCTGTGCCTCCTTGAGATACTTTTCTCGGCACTCTTCGATCAGATCTTTCAGGATGTTGGCATTAAGACCAATTGAGGAGATACGGAGATCCTCTCGATGCTCTTTGACAGCGCAGTGAAGTATGAGCAAATGCCCCCTATACCAAAAATGAAATGATCCATCCCAAGGAGAAAAAGCCAGAGGCTTTTTCTTTGTTGAATGGCGACCGTTTGTCCACTGCGTGGATCTCACTCGAGCGATCAATGAATGAGCATTGTGGACAAACGGTTGGTCAGCGATCCAGTCAACTAGCATGTCGTATGCTTCGTCGTAGTATGAGACATAGATAGTGGAGACTTAGACTGTCAGAATCATCCCATCATAAGAGCAGACATACGAACTGAAATAAGTTCTCACTATCCCCCACACATAGTTGACTCCGTAGCGGGTGACGAGGACAAACACAACGAAAATACAAAAGAGTCGGGTGTAGCTGTCCAGGTTACCGGCAAGCAGTTGGTGTGCGGTGGTCGAGACCATACTGAAACCGGGAAAGATGACATCTATGGGAGACATCTGGGAAGGGCCGGGGTAGCCACCGTTGATGGCGTTCATTGTATATCAAAGAAACACTGAGAGTTATGATACGGGCGCAGAGACTGAGATAATCCAGACCAGCTAATGGTGACCGGCAATAGGGGGAATTGAAGATTCAATGGGCGCGCCTTGGATAAACAATATCCGCTATTGAGCATTAAGCAAGCCCTGGTAATGGAACAAGTCATTAGATTAAACACCCAAGAATGACATAGACGAGTATGAAGGGCGCATGAAGGCGATACCACTTACTTGAATTAATGTTGGGAGGTGGCAGAGGTGGCGTGGTATTGCAGGAGTAGAGAGGCTTGACCTTGTCGCCCTCGTCGATGTTGGAAGTCGGCCGAACTTTCAGAGGCGCCAAGTATGGTGTTAGATCCTGGTACTAGATTGGACTGGCTTCCCTGTAGGGGTTCCTGGCTTGTTGAAGTGTAGGAGCTGGTAATTCCAGGTCTATGTCCCAAGGCACAAATGAATCCGGACGGACCTTATCCACAGCTTGCTCTCGTTGTAGAGAAGTCTTCAACCAATGAGGGAGTGTCTCGGAGAATGACTTCAACTGGGCATAATATATCAAAGAGAGTTTTCAGAGCCATGAGCTGGAAAATGTTGTATCAGACCTCGAGGAGATGAGCCGGGAGTATTTATGTCTTCGCACTTCGTAGACCTGACATGACATTTGGCCTACAGGCGCGTCACGCACACTATAGATATGTTGATCATCTCCCTTCGCTCTCAGTGGCTTTAGACGATGCATGGCCTAGATCGGTGTTAAGCACACTTGCCGCGTACAGATCGGAAAGGATTGTGATACTACAATGAAGCCAAACACTTTGCAAACGCAAAATAAAATACTATCTTACCTGGAGGAGAATAAGAATGCGCTTTCTGAAAAGCCAGATGTAAGATTACCTCTCAATGTCAAGCGCAGAGGCCTAGCGACACATCATTGGTCGTTCGGATGGTTCTTCTCCGAGTGTGGTTTCAAGTTGGTTGGGGGCGGGGTCAAAAGGACGACAGGGAAGAGAGGAGGGGAGGACCGATATGTAGAATGGGAGAAAAAAGTATTTGGTTCAGTATATCATCAGCAAATTCTCTCGGTTCTAATTAAAAAAATACTATCTTTCCTTTTACTTCAGTCAGATATCGACTTCTTGCGTCTATTCTAGTTGGACCCCGTTCTGTTTTGGAGTTGGTGCCCAATTCAATGATCTGTAGTCACATGACGCGCCGACTTCAACCGCTTACCCCGCCAGTGTTATAAACTTCATGTTGAACGGTTTGCGACGATGAAGTGAAGAACTCATTTTGTCGATATGCCTTCCGAAACACAACCGTCTTAGGGATCTTGCTTCGCTATTTCGTGGCAAAGACTGCATTTTCTGGGACGAGCCAGCCCTTCCTGCGTTTCGCACAAACACCTTTTTTTCCCTCCAGAGCCTGGCCGGTTCACGAAGTCCTTTCAACCAAGGCGATAATATTTCTTGATGGTAAGCCGTTTTATAATCATGGAGTGACGGTGCTAACGCGACTCAGCCGTTTGAACCCCAGGACCTCGACCCCAGCATCGACGTTTCCTCGATTCCTCCCAATAAGATTAAGTGGGTTGAAGGCAAGAATCAATGGGTATACTGGGTAGGATGTCAGGCACTTACATACTACGAAAACAAAGGAGAGGGGATTGTACACCCCAAGCTTACCGGTCAAATAAAGCTACCTCCTGGTATTGAGCTGTACTTCGTCGGAGGCAATGTTAAGGAAGAATAGTTTCTCTGCATGTTCACATTCTATGTATATAACTTGTTCTGTATTTGAGCGCCACCTTTCAGTCCTAAGGACAAATTGATCACAGCTCCTTCATCTGATCTGTCCGTAAATATCATGGATACGCATTCCGTCACGAGATTGCCCTCTTCTAGCTCCTTCTTGCGCATACGACTGGTTTTGATCGCCTCGTAAATCTCCACGCCGAGTATACGAAGAATCGCGTCATCTCGTGCCCCTTTCAACGTCATTTCTGGGTTGGGTATCAACTTGGCCCCTTCGTTCAACATCACGTAACGAACCCGGCCCTCTGATTCCACATGTACGTTGAACAGGGCGAACGCCAGGTATTCGACTTTATTCTGGTGGATAGCCAAGCTCATGAGGCAATCTACCAATCCATCAAAAGGGAAGTCCATAGTAACGGCAGCTTTGAGTGATGCTCCGTTATCAACTGTGTCCCTTCTTATTGCGCCACATAGGTAAGGGCCAAAAACATCCGCAAGACCTTCGACTGAAGCCTCTTCGAGAATGATATGTTGCAAGGAACCATTGTCGGCAATTGGGAGGGAATCGGCCAGTCCGTCTTTTGGCGAAGTTATCCCGGTTGAGCTGGGTACTGCGTGGACCTGGGAAACTGGGAGAAGCGGGATTCCTGTTCACACCGTTAGTGAAGAGCAAAGATCTTTTAATTCAAAAACCTCCCTTGTTTTGCGAATATCTGCGAGATCTTCTCAATGGCGCTGCTAACGGTATGGTGTGTCCGTACATCCGCTAACCTCCTGGCGACGTTCGCTTGCTCATCTGACGTCAGCCTCGTGAATGCGGTGAGCACAGACAGTCTGTCGTGACGGCCCTTAAAATGAGCCTTGCCTTCTGTTGCAAGAAAATAGGCAAGCCAAGCTTGGAATCCTCCATGGTCCAGGAAGATTCTTGAAGTCGAACTTGAACCTAAAGCACGAGTTTCCAGAAATTTTTTCTTCAACCTCGGGGGGGTTCTCTGACGATTCCATGCTTGTAGAAGCTGCTTCCCGAATATCTCGCTTGCCTGCTCAATTATTGTCTGCCGCGTCACCGCAACAGGGGAAGGAGATCCTTGGGCGAGTATCAGACTGACTACGTTTTGCCTGCGAGGTGATAGGGCCATGGTCCTCATGCACTTGGTGTCACCATGCAAGAAAACACTGTTCCGTAGCGGAGAGGGAAATTTAATCCTTATATTACCTGACCTAGGTCACGGGAGGTAGACTACGTGGCTGGACGGCAAACTAAAACGTTATTTTGCATGGCGTATCTTTCAGCTATGGGGGCGTAATGTGCTTGGCGTGGATAGAGTTCAGCGCTGAACTGTCACTAATCTAGGACTTCAGCCGCTTCAGCGCTTTGACCCTTCATCGCTCTACCCAGTACCGTCGAATCCCATTCTCAAAAAAGCAACATCCTCCAATCCCACCCCCATGGATGTCTGCGAGAGAGGCCAGTGCAGAGGCCCACTTCCGACATTCCGGTGTGACCATCGAGGAAATTCTGGGAATGCACGTAAGTTGGAGACCTATAAGTATCTCATTTTGCGAGGTCAACCAATACTGTTCTGCCTACTCATCAATTCATCGTGGTGTTCCTGTAATCATCTGTCTACCTACTCCTTTCTTAGTATGCTGAAAACGAGCGGTACATCAGACAATGCAATGAGTGGGGTACGCAAGTAGTTGGTCCAGGTCGTCACCCCGCGTCTCTGTGCTGCAGCGAGGGTCATGGGGTGTGATAAGCCTGCATATTCACCACTGGAGTGAGGGGAAAGGGGCGGGGAAGGTTGTACTTAGCTGGTGGTCCTTCCGCCTAGACCTGATCATGATAGCAATTGTGTTTGACCTGGAGTACTGTCGGAACCCATCTACTATTGCCTATTGCAATGTGCAGCTTCAGAGTTAGGGTGCATAATTGTGGTCACTACCACAAATCACTCAAAAAACCATGCAAAGATGCGAAATCCAAAAAGAAAGTATGCGCCAGTGGGACTACCGAAGACGCTTCCACAAGCGGCACTCCGTACTGTGGCATAAGTGGATGCGACCAGAAACCAAACCTTAAGAGGGAGGGTCCCGGTATGTGATACAACCGTTCATCTCGATTGCTGGCTTCCCGCTTACGAACATAGGCCTCAGAACGGATGGTGGATTCGATGAAGACGATATTGATTGGGATGACTATTGAGCCGATCATGGGCATCGGTTATGGCAACAGCGGAAGATTATATTCTGCCATTGCCATGACTGTATTTGTGCTTCTTGTATATACTGCATGTTCTATCAATACCAGAAGTCCTTAGGCGTGAAATGGCTTCGGAAAGAGTCATGCGGGCCACTGTATCTTCCCTTGTAAGGCAAGCAACAACCTGATCCAATGCTTCTGAAAACGGACTGCTTCCTCCATGCGATACGATTTCCGACAAAAGCTTCCCGTATGCCCATGTGTCGTTCAGCCGCCGCACCTCAAATGAGAGATTACCGGGTGATATCTCGTCTCGGATCTCAGGGGCGCGCCATTCATGAGTGATTCCGCCAACGCCGCTGATATCAATCAGCACCGCGTTTCCGTTTTCGTCAATAACGACATTTGATGGCTTGATATCCATGTGAGTTTTCCCTGCCTCATGCAAGCAGTTAACTGCAGCAGCAATTTGCGTAGTCCAACGTCCCCATGGATGTTCATGCAGGTGACCCTCATCGAATAGGTTTTGTAAAGAACCACCAGAGTAGAATACCTGGAGAATGCCAAATATAACCAAAGGCTGTTCTGTCACATCTGACGTCGCATAAGGATTGGGGAACACCGCAATACCAGCTGGTTGGACAATGTTCGGTTTTCCTTGGAAATATATTAAATTTCTGAGCTCGGTGCGAATGACTTCTGTGTCATGCGGCTGGTAAAAGGGCCGATTGACAACCTTAAGAATGTATGGCGTCTTGTCATGCGCTCCGATAACGCGGAAAACACCGTCTGTGATCTCCGTTTGCTCAAGTAACTCGGTGACTTCGAACGTCCTAAGAGAAGGAAATTCATCACGTAGAGGATAAATGACTCTCGACGGATCTTCCCGGACAGTGTATTTCAGTTTCCTGGAGAGGTTTGCAAATGGACTAACGGCGAGTTCCGCCGTTCCACGTATTTTCACTGTGGCATCAGATCGATCGCTTGATTCTTCTAATATCACCTCACTGACTGTGTCATCGAGAAGTGGAAGAGATCTGAAATCGATAAGGCTGATGAAGTCCTGGTACTCTTTGCGCCTCTGTCGTTTTAAGGTCTTTTGCTTTCCGACCTGCTCGGTGGCCTGCCTCTCCGTTACACGGAGGGTTTCGCCTCTGAGAGTCACCTTGACCCACCAGCTGAGGTTTGCAAGACGAACGATCAAGGTTTGGGAACGGCTGCTGGGCTCTGGCTTCCCCTCAACAAGGAAGTCCTCATTTTCAGTATATGACTTAAACTCGAAAAAGGGCTCATGTTCCTGGAAAAAAGCGGACGGCATCTGGGTCGGACGGTATAAGCGTGTCAAACGTGGTGAATGGTGTTTATCAGGGGAAGTTGTTGCGGATCATATCTCTTGCCCCTTGATTTGTACATAGCGTCCACGTGACTTCCACCATAGACAATTCGAACCCCGCCTTGCATTCGTGTCACGTGCGCTATTACGTCTTTTGGAGCCCGCCAGCCAGTAGCGAGTGGCTGACCCCAGTGATACGTTCAGTTGCAGTTTCGTTTCATTCGCCGTCCCAGCCTATCATAGTCGATGGCTATGCGGGAATCGACCCACCGCTTAAGGGCGGTGAGAGCGATTAGTAATAACTATCTACACCTCTAATGATTCGCTTGACTGAGGGCTTGGCTCCACTCGGACGTCTGCCCAGGGGTTCCCCAAGTCCTCTTTGGCTTCTATGTACCCATTGACCTCAGTGCTCTGCCTCATCTATTTTGTCCTGCCGTACAGCTCCAAATTGCCCAAGGAGCCCTGTTTGCAGCATGAATTTGGCCGCCCGTACCGCAAGCTTGGGCGACTTTAATATCGTCTTCACATCTCCTCCTCCTTCGAATCCTCCACCTGGCTTCGTCAGATACTGTTGGCGCAGGTCTCTGAAAAGTGGGCAAGCGAGAAGAACGTGCCGCACGGTCTGGGTGGCCCTTCCGCAATGGCAGTCACCGTCTTGGATATCCGGTACCCCTCGTTGATAAAGATAGTATCGGAGCCCTATCTTTCCAGTGCGCATCTGTACGGTCACTGTACTAAGGGGTCGAGGAAGGCCCCGGTGTATCCTCAGGACCTGCTTCGTTGGGCCTGGCGTCAGCTCATACACTGCCCGACCATGCGGGCTTGTTTGCCAGTCTTGCTCCCACTGGCTATTTGCTGCCTGCCGGATTCTGGTCTCTACTGCCGAACGAAGGAGTCTCTGTTGGACCGGCCTTGGCGCTGTCGCTGTGGTCATCACTTCCTTCACCCTGCCACGGTGTCCACGAACCTGTCGCCAACCTGTGGCTTCCTTTGCTGCTTTGTCGGCTAGCTCGTTGCCTTCGACGCCGCAATGTGACGGTATCCATCGAAAGGATATGGTGAGTCCATCTTCCCGTGCTTTATCTAGAGCCGCTATGACCACCTCTACGAGATACTGTCCAGACCGCCGCCCCGGGTTCTGTATGGCCCGCAGGGCTGCCTGGTTGTCGGTGAATACCACCGCCCGACAAATCCGATGCCTAATGATGATGAGGAAGATCCCTTGCAGTTCCGCCGCATACACTGTGGTTTCTGATTGTTCGCCCATGTAGGTCGCCCGCGCGTCCAGGTACTGCGGGCATGCCGCGGCGGCTCCTACTTTGCCGTTGATCCCGCTCCCGTCTGTATACACCGCTACCGCCGTCTGGCTGTGAGCAGCGATGATATCGTGCTCTGCTATTGCTTGTTCCGCGCTCTCATCGATGGTCACGTCTGGTGGTGTCCAGTATGGTGCCGTGATATATGGCTGGATACATTCCAGGTTCCCAAAGTTCACCTGCCCCAGTCTCCGGATGGCGAGCTCGTCGATTCTCTGTAGTGGGCTCCACTCCCAGCAGCGCCAGTCCGGCCGAATACGTCCCCGTCATATTGCCTCACCACCGCGTACGTTCCGTATATGATCTCTGGCTCTGCTGTTGCAATCCGTAGCAGTGTCTCCAGCATCTGTTTTTCCAACAGCCATTGTATTGGCAGTTGATATGTTTCTATGTTTAGTGCTGCCGTTGCTGTTGTTCTATACGCGCCAGCAATGGCCAACATTGCTCGGGTGTGGATTTTATTAAGACTCCGTAGGCGTGTCTGTTGATGCTCGCCGTCAGGCTTGAGCGCGTGCCATGCTGAGCATCCGTAGAGGAGTGCTGGAATGATTACCGATTGGTAGATTCGGCGTAGCTGTATTAGGCCTGCACCCCAAGTGCTTCCGGCTAGCGTGTTGAGGGGTTTGAGAAAGGGCGTTGCTTTCCTTTCGACCTGCTTGACCTGGTCCTCCCATCGGAGCGCAGGGTCAAGCGTGATACCCAGGTACGTGGCTGTCTTGGCGGGCTTAATCTCTGCTCCAGCGACTGTCATGGTTTGCGTCACGTTGAATTTTGTCCTAGCAAGGGTGAAGTGCATGAGCTGGTATTTCGCAGGAGAGAATCTCGACCCATGGGTTCTTGCCCATTCTTCGGCTCTCCGGTGTGCCCGTTCTAGATTTTTACAGTTCTGTTCCGTTGAAGTGCTCCTTGTGAAGAAGTAGATATCGTCGATCCATCCCGATGTGCGTATATCGCTGTCAGCCGCGGCCTCCAAGAGGTCCGCGTTGTAAAAGAGATAGAGTATGGGTGAGAGTGGTGAGCCTTGTGGGATTCCGACGGCCACTGTGTACGGTTCGGACTCTATATCCCCCATCCGTATAGTGGTTGTCCTGTTGCCGAGGAAGCTTGCGATCCATGCCACGGTGTCCCGATCGATTCTCCGTTTCCGTAGGTTATGAAGCAGCCGCATGTGTGATACATGATCGAACGCTCCTGAAACGTCGAGGAACAGGACACTGGCGACATGGGATGGCGTCAATTTCCAGGTCGTGTGTATTCTCTCTAGGAGAACGTGGACGGCCTGCTCCGTCGACACGCCTCTCCGTCCTCCCATGTGCTGTTCGGGTAACAGATTGTGCTTCTCGACCACATAACCCAAACGTTTCGCCAGAATTGACTCCATTACCTTGCCTAGCGTGTTCAGGAGCGCTACCGGTCGGTATGCCTTCAGTTGCCCGTAGTCGCTCTTCCCGGGTTTCCTGAGCGTCACGGTGACAGATTCTCGAAAGTGTTGGGGACAGTAGTGCAGCCGGAGGCACGCATTGTAGAGGTCCTGGAGGGGCTTCGCGATATATAATGAAATGCGGTGTAGCAGGTGGCTTGGGATAGTGTCCTTTCCCGGCGCCTTTTTACCCGGCATACGTCGGATCGCTTCCGTCACCTCCCTCAAAGTGATCGGTGGTAGTTGTATTGGGTGTGGGTATTCGTAGCCTTCGATGTCAGTCAGGTCAACATCAGGGGGTGGCGGGAAGAAGGCTTGTTTGAACATCTCCAGCTTATTAGTTGCGTCTGTCTCCAATCCTCCATCCGGACGTTGGAGTGGTGGTATCAGTGTGGTTCGTGGCTCTCTGCTACGGGCCCATCTTGTTATCTTCCACAGGCTGTCTAGAGAACCCGTCGCCTCTTTGACCCTCTTCCGGTGGTAATCTCTCAGGGTTTTCCTGATGAGTCTGGCTTTGTGGTTCCTTGCGCGGCGGTATGCCTCCCAGGCCTCAGGCGTTCGTTCGCGTTGGTACCTCCGTCTCAGGCGTCGGGCGAGCTGCTGCGCCTCTTTGCATTCTTTTGTCCACCCTGGTATCGAGCGCGGACTTGCTCGCGTTTTGGGAGTGGACTCATTGACTGCTATTAGGATGGCACTGACTATAGCCTGAGTAGCGTTATCGATGTCATGCTCTGTGATCAACGTCGTCAATTCGGGCAGATTCTGTATCAGGACGCGGTGGAGCCGTTCTTGGTCGGTAAGCTCCCAGTTCCACTTCTCCGGGAATGTACGCCCGCGGGTTGGCTTTGCCAATACTGTCTCTAGAGGGATGTGGTCCGAATCATGATCCAGGTCGTGTTGTGGGAGGCACCGGATGAGACTGTCCTGAAGTCTAGGCGTGGCTAGCGTGAGATCGATTGTCGATTCTGAGTCTCGGGCTCGGAAGGTGACGGTTCCTGTTTCGTAGAGGAGGCCTAAGTCGTAGTCCTCAATCAGTCGCAGTGTTTCCTCTGCCTCAGGATCTGCTCTTTGCGCCATCAAGCCACCCCAGTATGGATGATGCAAGTTGAAGTCTCCCACGACGATCTGCTCTGCATGCCGCCATCGCTCCATCACCGTCCGGAGCACCGGGAGGGTACTGTTTTCTGGTTCCAGAGAAGGGACAGGTTTGTACACGTTGTGGATGACGATCTCTTCGTTCTCTTCTTCGCCCCAGCGTAACTGTAGTGTGCTCAAGTCGGGAGTATGGTGTGTGACTGACCAGCGTCTGGCTTCGATCCTCTTGTTCACAAAGAAGCAGACGCGCGTTTCCTTATGGTCGTAGTACGCCAATTCGAAATGTTGTGGAATGGGGTGGTGGGTAGTGTTCATGAAGGGGTTTCTCCAGGGTTCTTGTATCGCTAACACATCGTAGTTGATGGTCTTCCTGTCTCTCAACAGGGCCGCCATCACCTGATCTCGTGACTTCCTGACGTTATACTGGAGTATTGATAGTGTGGATTGTCTGCTCATTGTTGGTTTGGCGGCGTGGCTTGAAAGAAATTCGAGATGGGCTGTATGTTTTCCCCTGGAGCCGCTTTGTCTGACTGCGTTACCCTCTCTCTCCTAGTGTTCGCAGAGCTTTCAGCAAGGGCTCGGCGTGTAAGGGTGCGCCGTCTCTTATGTGCCGTCTGCCATTCCTCTCCTACTGCCCGAGTGGATGGCTGTACACTTTTCCTCAGGTCGTATGAGAGCGGTTGGTTGGAAATCACGCTCCGTTGTGGATTCCCCGAGGCGTTGCTGTCGGGCTGTGTTCCAGTCGGACTCGACGGCCGCGTCGAGGCTCTCTGTCCTGAAGGGACTCCTACAGCAGCCCTCCCAGAATCGTCTGTTTCGTAGTAGAAGACCGGCCGAGTCTGTCGAGCCTGCTCGATTCTTGCCAGCTCCTTTCGTCTCCTTGGACAGGCGTTGCTCCATGCCGTGTGCTGGCCCTTACATAGCACACAGCACGGTGCCGGCTTGGGTTCCGCTTCCTTCACCATGCATTCCTTGGTATTATGCTTTCCCGCGCAATATCCGCATCGTTCTTTGGCGTCGCACTGAGGTCCGATGTGGCCGTATTCATGGCAGCGATAGCACTGCTTGAGTCTACACGACCGGTCATAGAGGACACAGTCGTGGTGGATTGCGTTCAACACCAGCCCTTCCCGGATGACTCGGTTCGCATGATATTTAGTGGTGAATTCCACAATAAGGGAGGAAGTTGGTTTCCTTCTCCCTTCCTTGATCAGCCATCCTACATGAGTTACCTTCGCTCCTTCGTGGAGTACTGCGTTCTCGGACTCAATCTTCTCGATGGCTCTCTGTTGATTGTCAGTATCAATTGATTCTTTGCTGGTACGGACTCCGTGTACGAGTACTCCGTACGTGGGCTTGATCACTCGTGCAGTTGTCCCAAGGACCTTGACCCATTCCTCTTCGGTGCTCTTCAGTGTGTCTGCCTCTGCCGTGGTTGCGGTATGGAGTACTACATCGCCGCTTTTCAGCTGCTTTGCTGCTATGACGCGTGGGGCTTTCCCAAGCAGGTTTATCCGTGATCCCAAGGCATCGTTCACTCGTTTGCGGAGGTCCTCCGGCGATATCTTGCGGAGAACGGCCGCGGAATTTGCATCGAGTTTCACTACGGTTTCCCTATCATTGGCGCTTGCGGTTGTGGAGGCTCTGCTATTCGGCGTGGACGGGTACGAGGGCGTGCCCGAGCGGACTACATCCGCCCAGGAAGCGATTCGGGTGGCTGCATTGGGTGGCATGGGAGCGGGCGACGCGAGTACATTGTTGACAGCATTCTTAATGAGGGTGATGTCCTCTGCGATCGGCTGCAAGCTGTTTAGTTTCCCCAAGGTCTCCTGTGCCGAAGGTTGCCCTCGGGTTTTCTTAGCTAGTGTGATCACGCTATTCAGAAAGGCTTCCAGGGATTGGGCTGGTAATTTGGCGCGTTTTGGTGTTGTCAAGCTCCAGCAGTGCTGTGGCCTCGGCTATGATTTGCGTGGCATGCTCGAGGTGGTTCAGGGGCTGGATCCCCAACACTGGCCAAGTAGTCCCACCAACCATAACTTCTGGGTATTGGGCGATAGCCAGAAGCACGGTTAATAGATTGAACCAGGTTTTAGATCAATTAAGCTTCTCTTTAACGAGAAATTCCAAGAATTCGTTCTGAGCTGAGGGGAGTTGTTTCGATTCGAGGTTAATTCTCGTTTGTCGGACCCGGAATATCATTGTTCCTTAGGTCACGTGCCTTGAAGCCACTACTTCAGTACCAGATTACTTGCTGTTCATGGCCAGCCCCTGGATAGTCTTGCCTGAACTCGACAATTGCTCATCAAATCAAGTTTATTCGCCTACAGAAAGTCTCAAGACTCAATATTTTGCTACGCCGTCCTATACTGGGCAATTGCGAATATATACTACATGCCAACCAGCGTTCTGGAATGGATTTAGGCGAGGCAACAACGCGTTCATTTGAAGCTGATGATGTGTTGGTATCGAATATAATCCGTACCACATCTTATCATCGTCGTGACTTTGACCTAGCGGTCATCAGGACAAATCCTGAGGATCATAGGCTGGTACGCACCTCGCTGACTGAAGATATCCATACTACTTATTCATCTTTGGGAAAACTTGAAATCTTGCCGCTTGAGACTATTCACCAGATATGCCTCCTCCTTGACATATGGTCTTTGTTTCGATTTCGCCAAGTCAATCGCCGTGCTCGACAGGCCGTCAGTGCCATTCGTTTTTACAAAGTGATTGTCAACCATGCTCTTGAGGCGCTGTGTATCACTTTAAGGACCAATATCGCGACATGGTTTCGACTCTCAGACTTGTTCGATGTCCTATGTACCATGAAATGTCACTTCTGTGGTGCCTTTGGCGGTTTTATCTTTCTTCCGTCATTTAGAAGGTGCTGTTTCTCCTGCATTCGGGCAGATGGTCTTCCTTGCGTCTTGGTTCTCTCCGATGTTAAGCATCGCATCAAGCAGCGTTTGGGAGGCGTTTGCAGTCTGATGCCTACAGTGAGGACTTTACCTGGAACATACTCAATGGATGAGACGGTACGAAAAAGAAGAACTGAAATCGTACTAAGCGAATCGATCAGCGCAATCTACCTGAACGACGAGGTCGATGAGACGCGAGTTAAACGCTCAAAGAAAACAGTACTACTTCCTTATATGGTAACCACATCCTTACCTTATTTCGATTATAAAAGTGGCGTCGTTCAGAGAGGTATCTCCTGTAGTGGCTGCCAGGTCGCTTTGGAGAAAGCTCTGAGGTCTTCAAGGGTCGAATCCGGAGCCTGTGCGATGAGAGACAAAGTATACTCGCATGACGAGTTTTTGGATCACTTCAAAGCCTGCCAAGAGGCTCAGAACATCTGGAAGTCGCGCGGAAGGGGTTCTGATAACGCTAGTTTCTCTGAGTTCGTTAGACGTAGAGGCTACTTTAAGAGAAGGGATGTGATCATGTCTTTCAATAGTAAGAAATATGCATAATGTATATGGCACCTCAACAGGGTGATTGATTCGTCTTGATTAGCCTTCTGATCCAGCAGGTCAGGTGAAATCTATCTAGTGCTGTTTTATGCCGAATAGATGCGTGGATAAAGAAGAGTCTGTGAGACAAGCAAATGCTACGTTTCACGCGGATATAATATCAGCTATAGCGTCAGACAAGCCTTCGCAAACCCAAATTGTCCAGCAACCGCTCTACCTTAGGTAGTGCCCTTCCATGGAGATGGCGCGAGTTCTGCAGATATTGTTTCTCGGTAGACAGTTGTGTGCCATAACAGCTCTTCACTCCTGCAAGTCCTCGTCTGAAAAATACTTCTTCGGGGCGTCCGGATTGACGAGGTGGCCTTTGCAGTAATTTGTTGAATTTTTGCCAAACTCCTTCTTAATGGGTTTGCACTTCACGTTGGACCCTTGACGACCGTCGCATTGGACGAACTCCATCTCTTTCCTGCACCCGCAGGTATATTGTATGTAGTAGGAAGTGCACATTGCGTTGACCTATAGAACGTCAGCATTCAAGTTAAATTTATCCGTGTATGCGGACTTACCGTGATACGAAATTTATGCGAGAGGCAAACAAATATCGCAAGACTCCAGGTGCAAGTAACGGAGATATGATCGGCTCTAGTTGACCTGGGAAGCAACAATAGAAAAAGCTCAGAGTGGATGTTTCTGTAACTCTTAGGCACGAGTCTCCAGGCATCTATTTATGCATACGCTTTAGCACAGTGTTCGTATAACACACCGCCAAAGTAAGCGACGCCCCTGCCACCCTTCATTCAGCCGTGAGTAGATTGCTCGTTTGGTATAATATGCATGTATGCGTCACAGTCCACTAGTGTTCACCGGACGATTACGCGTCTTCTCACTGTTGGAGTAGTTACCGTCACAACATATAAGTATCCCTGAAGTGCTGGTCAATCCTTGCCAGCACGCATAATTTGTGTTCTTCACAGTACTTCATTTGAAAAGCAGTCCTTGTCTTGCGCTTGCTTCCTCGCGGACGCAAGTAGCTATCAATACTTACTCAGATGAGTTCGAATCACCACTCTCCCATGGTACTTTCAATGGAGGTATCAAGTAAGGATGAAAGTGAGTACCGCATATTGGTGCAAAACATGGTTAGATATTTGATAATTCCCACCGGTACATTCGAACGTTCAGCACTTTCTACGCCTCTCAGTTCATTGCCTGATCTTCCTGGGGGTGACACCTGGAACGTTGCGTACATTAGTCGGGATCCCTCTAGCGGTCAGATCCTCATTGATCGACAGATACGAACTCTTATCGGCATAGTAGACGTCTGGCATCCTTCGCGTGTTGACTGTCTTGAGCTAAGAAGGCTAAGGCAGCTTACGGCTACCACATACGAAGCAACTTACGGGAGCGGTGGATCGCCTAAAACTGTCATTGCGAAAGTTGCACGTTTCGAGTGGGAAATACCTCGTTTAGCCCAGGAAACTTCTACATACAAAATTCTGCAGAATACTGGTCTTGCTCCCTGGTTTCTCGGCCACGTCCACGAGCATGGTCGCGTAATCGGTTTCATACTTGAGAAGCTCGAAGGGCGTGAAGCGAACATTGGGGATCTATCGCTATGTCAGTCCGTACTGGGACGTCTACATGATGTCGGGATCCTTCATGGCGATGTCAACAGATACAATTTTATTGTTCGATCAGATACGGCTTATTTGATTGATTTCGAAAGAAGCCAACTATGTGACGACACAAATGCATCCATGCGGGCTGAGATGGAGAGTTTGCGGGATCAATTGGTGGAAAAAACGGGACGTGGAGCAGGTTTCTCTCGATCAAAATAAGTGGCCAGTTGAGCAGAAAGGGTAAGCTTCATTGGGGAGAGTAGCAGATACTATGCTAAACAGCAGGTAGTCTTGCATGGTTTCTGATTACGTTTGCAGTTTATCAGTAATGGTGGCTAGCTTTATGTGGGCGCTATTATTGTACTGTTACAGTTTAATTCTTGGCTTTGACAACTTTTTATTGTCCGCGAATGAAAGAGCATAAGATTACCAACGATGCTTTGCGCTCTTTGTATAATATCGTTACCTACTACACCGATCCGGAGGTATCGCATGTGATGGAATTAGTGTACACTGGTTCATGCAAATTTGGTCGGTTTTCCGCGCTGGAAGGTAATAATACATGTATGCTTACATCTACGGTGTACCTCTTCCCATCCCCATTCGTCCTGTTCCACCATCTTATCGAAGGTTTGATTCGTGGCGTACTTAGCATTAATACAGCGTTGCTGGGAATATGGAGTGAAAAGACCTCGGAGTACGTAGGCTGTGACGATTATATGGTAATACAATCTCATATGTGAGGGGCCTCTTCTCCACCAAGGATGGCATCGAGACCTACTAATGCACAAGATATCACAAGTCACGCATCTTCCTGTCGTATTGGATACCTGAAGTAGTAAAGATACAGCGATGATCAACGAAGCAAACAGGATCTAAGCTAACGTGACCAACAGTCGAGCGGGCCCCTCAGTCAGGCCACCCTGCTATCCCATATAAAAGATACCTTTTTCATTCTAGGATATCTCAGCCAATACAGTGTTTGAGAAGTTCTAACTTCATACACAGATTATATAAAGAAGAAAAAATACTATATATCTTTCTTAGATGTTTTGTAATTTTTTTATATGAGATATATTGAATTCTTATATAATACAGTAAGAATACAAGAATTGTAATAAAACCCTAATGGAGCACTCACTACACCATAATACCATCCGTTCGGGTATCTTTAAATAATTCCGCATGGTCAAGGATCGTAGCTAGAGAGGAAGGCCAATCGGAAGGCCTGATAAAGTTGTTTCTGAGTCTCTAGAGGAGTCCAATCAATTTTGTCATTCACACCTCCACACGGCGCACAGGCAGTTAAACTCGAATGTTCGAACCGACAATAAGTCATGGATTCCGCCCAATAATGGCATTATGCAACCAGGGGATAAAGTGCAACGATGTTACGCCACTATCTTCACAGAAGCCGGGTCTTACCAATCGCCAGTTTAATGAAAAGTACTTCATAGGGGTGGGGGTAGTCCAGGCAACATGCTCTGTAAAAAGTGCCATCTATTTTGGAGCTTGTAGAAGCCGTAGAGGCGGTTGGATTCGCACAAGATACTGCGCAAATCGGGCGGAAGCCACTTAGTGTATGTGAGCTAGGGAAGATATCTCGAGCCGTCTGATAGCCCCATAGCTGAAAATTTTGCGGCCCGTCTACTATGATCTCATATGCTTGAACAATAGGGCACCGAATAATCATCAAGTGCGCCCGGGAGTACAACCCGTGACACCTACCCGCGAGTACGTTCAGTCTAATGTAAGCGAGACATGTATGAATCCTCTTTCAAGTGGCCCGAGTGTGGGGCCGTAAACCATACCCGGTCAAAGGTCATGCCCCAGTAAATGAAAGGGTTGCATGATTACAGATTAAAGGGGGAGCCAGGCCCTGAATGGATGATAAATCATAGCACCAAAAGGTGGATGTGGAGATATTTGGCTCTGGAATAGCTCTAATTGGATTAGAGGAAAGGTAATGGAGCGAGTTTGGAGTACCATGTCAAGGTGTGCTTTCCTCTAGCCTTCAATGTCATTGCTTTCGTTTTCAAGGATCCGTGGTTGAGATCCTGGCCAGAAGATGCGGGGTAGATAGCGGCCAGATAGTTCTTCCGCTATTCCGCTCGTTCTGGACCCTCACGTTAATTTATTCGTCATCAGAGAGCCAGGCAGCTCGCTGAAGCCGACCGCACCTCAATGAACTCTTCTTCAAACGATGATGCGCCCCAGCGATCACGGCTCGCTGGACGTTGTCCCTGCCAATCTACGGATTGTTAGAGAAATAGATCGTTCTGATGCGCCTTCGGAGTTTGAAATAGAAATTGAAGGGCGGAAACACGCTCTGAAACTTGTAAGTAGCCTCAGCTACTAGGGTTTTGTTCGTTACTGACGACTTAGTTCCACGACAACGGATCCAAAATTTGCCGAGAATGGTCGAGACCTTAATCGGCTCCGCTGCGGACTAAACGCCTATATGAAATTTCGGGAACATAGTGTCTGCGAGCGGGGATTTGTCCCATACTTCTACGGCCACGTTGATCGAGTCGACCCTACCGCGTTCTACCCAGCTTCTCAACATTTCGCGCACGAGAATATCACCCTAGAGCAATACTACTTGAATAGCTTTTAAATGCCGAAAGTTTGAATTGCGAGAACTATTCTGAGGCCTGTTATCACCAAGCAATAGAGGGCATGAAGCAGATACGCGCTGCTCACGTTCACCACCGAGATATATACCCCAAAAACATACTCATTGTTCCTGGCGACGAAGAGCGAATGGTATAGGTCGATTCCGATGTCGCGATGACCTATACGACTGCAGGGCCAGATGGACAGCGGTGGAGTGAAACTGAAGATACGTATGTTGCTGAGTTTGGGGAATCTTTGGTTTGTCCAGCTCTGGCTCTTGTCATCTGAAGGAAACTAACTTTCATTGTCTAGCGAGAAGACCAAAAACAAGGGCTCCGTAATAATACCAAGTAGCATTAGTATAAGTCGCTTTCGTCTCCATTATCGGATTTGCAAATATCTCTACTACATCAACCAGCGACTGGCTGGATAAGAAGACCCTTGTTTCGGTAGGCGACAAAGTATGAACGACAAGCTAAAGGTCGGCAGTTCCTTAACTACACATTGATAGAATCACTCACGTCATGGCCTTCAATGGGATCTTCCAACATGCCAAAAAGCAATTTGAATGTGGAATGAACACAATTGTGTCGGTAACTGGAATAATACGACGCTGGACCGTACCATACCGGCGATCTGAACGATAACACTTTCTGTACGAGGGATCTGTAGCTCAAATCAGAGAAAGGAGCTACAGGCCTCAGCGAGAGCAGAGCGTTGAAATGCATTTCTTTTATCAGTGCCCCATACATGATTGAGCTGCATTCGAAGCCACACCCTTTACTGCCATTTTGGAGTTCATCGCGCGTTTTCTCAAGTCGTAAAATTAGGCCAGCGATCGCGCGCTGTCTTTTATCATTCATCGATCCTGCTTTCAATTAGTAGTCAAGCGTATCTGAGGACTTAAGCGCCCATACTAATGATTTCCTCGGGAATTGGGAGTCCGAGATTACCAATCCAGCCGTTACTTAGAGACATGGCACTTGAGGTCGCTTCTTTGAAGTTGGCGGGGAGGTGGAAATACCAGGCAACCCATAACCAGAGAATCAAGTCCCTAGAATATGTTGTGTGAATAATATCGTCCAGAGCGTTTATCCATGTATGTGCGAAAAGGACTATAGCCTCCCTGCAGTCGTAGTAGTCGGCCAAAACAGCAACTTTCGCGAGCATCTCAAGCGTCAGTTTACGCGGTATTTGATGTGACTGACAATGTATAATGCGAAGTATAATTAAGAGCGCGTCGACATCCCAGCCATCCGCAGTGATTTCAACCGAGCCTTTTTGTAGATAGGTAATGCTTTCTTTCCATCCACCAGTTAGTATTTTCTTGAAGACTGACGAGGCGAGGATCAAATGTTTCGCGGAGACTTGGATGCGGAAGCAGTTTTCCTCCAACTGTTCAGTGACCCCAATTTCGGCAGGTTCTTCAGCGGGTTCTTCAGCAGGTTCTTCAGCGGGTTGTTCAGCGGGTTGTTCAGCGGG